TGGGGTTGAGGCTTCATGAAATGAGTCAAATCAAAGAACAAGATTGCCTGTGTGCCTGAGAAGGAGGAACAGCGAATGCGTGTTTTCACATCTTCGCCGAGAAGTGGCACTTCGAGACAATGAGCTGCCGACTCCTCAAACGTCAGGTCTCGCAGCCCATTCTCGCCTGACCGGGCACATGCAGCACTCCCAAACTACTGTGTGATGCTTGGGCTCTTCAACGAGCTCTGAGGCAAGGCAGCTGGATGCAAGGATGGAACCGGCTAAAACCTATTTCTATGTATTAATCAAGGCGCCTCACTTGAGTCCTTGCAAAGATTTTGGACGCTGATCAATCTCAGGTGAGATGTTGTAGCACAATCGATTCTGCAATCTACCTGTCACGACATTTGCGAAGGCACATGGGCCAGCGGAACACATCGAGGGTGCTAAGCAATAAAACTACCCCTTAAACCACCCTGAGAACTGAGAAAATCTGGAAGGGTCGAGTGCCTGTGACCTCTCGGAAGATCCGCTCCACACAGCTGACAACCGGCCTGGGCCAAAGCAATTCACCCAATGCAGATTGTTCCAGACAGGCACACAAGGCCTGTATCCGTCGACCCCACCGTTTCCGTGTGTCAGCCAAATTGAATTCAGTTGGTGGTCGATCGGATCTCAACAGTTCTGCAGCTGCCGAGCCATGGATCGCCCACAACCTCTTCTTCCACGAGAGCAGACGGGGTGAAGGACAGAGGGGCCAAGGCTCAGGGCCCCCGCCCGAGAACCGCTGACATCCTTTCTTCCAGCGTCTGAGCCCCTGGCGTGATGCCGCGCCGACCCAGAAGCTGGACCTCGAGGCAGGGTGGAATCTACAGCGGAGGACCCAACAGATGCGCAGCCAGTGCGCCGGATACGTCTCGCAAGTCAGGTTTGAAGGGGGAACCCAAACGCATGGCAATCACAGCTGGCTGGTCCCCAACCGCAAGCCCTAGACCTTCCCTCCCCTTCCCCTTTGTATGACTGTTCCCGGTTGGTTATTTAGTCTAACTCACGAAGTACAAAGCCCCCTCAGAAGACACCCCGGCATCCTTCAGCTTCCTTCAGCTTCCTTATCGCTTGTCTTATTATATGATCATACTGTTGAACTATTGTATAATCCTATATTATGATTCTATTCTAATATGTTACTGCTACTGTATGATTATCTTACTATCGTTCTTACTATACTACTGTATGATTACTATGTTCTTCTCTTACGACGTTTTACAGCATTCTCTTATATAATTTTCTCTGAGTGTTCGGACCACCTCCTGGAGGCTCACGCTCTGGGAGTGGTCTTGGTCCACCTGCTCAGAAGCTGGCAGCGTGAGGAAGCATCTTTTTTTGTTCGACACTTTTCTGCCCTTTTTCGGCCCTTTTAGGGTTCTGAAAACTTCGACCTTCTCAAAGCTCGAGGAGCTTCATGTTCCACTTCATGTTCTAAAAGGTTAAGGGGTGTAAGAGGGTGCTGTGGCGCGCAACAGGGTGCAGCGGGGACGTCTTTTGGGTCGCAGCGGGCGCGTCTATAGGCTGCAGTGCAGGGTGTGAAGGGTCCCTGTGCGCTTGCACACTGCCCCACCTGCTTCGCGGAACATTTAGCTTTGGGGCGCTAAGCGGGTGCAGGTGTGCTGGATGTTGGGTGCAGGCCGGCTGCAGGGTTCAGGGGCGCCAGGTACCCTGTGGCACCCTGCAGATGCACCCGACAAATGCACCTGCCGCACCCTACAGACGGAAACACCCACCTACATGACCCCCTGCTGACGAAATTGGCAGCGAATAGCAACCATACCTCTCACTACTCGTAAAGTTTGTTGACTTAACCCCTAAAAAAATTCCGCAGCCGGCTCGAGAGCCTCACTAAAGATCTGCCACATGAAAGTGTAGCGCTGGTGGCGATACCTGGGTCTTGCTTTTGCTAGCAGCAGGGTGGGCTGTCGGGTTTCAGGGTTTCCTGTTCGGTTTTGTGGAGTCTGCCAGGCTTGGTAGTCGCCACAACTGGGACGAACCCAGGTCAGGTGGGGTGTAAGGCTTCGAAAGCTTTAGGAACATTAATCACCCCCACCCTCCCCCCTTTCCCGGCAGGGGCCAAAGGCTCGTTGGGAGGATTTTTGCATGTAAACCTGAAGTTCCACGTGCCGGGAAGATCTGGGAAGGGGGCCTGACCTACCAGTGCGGGGGGGCGCAAAAGTCATGTTACTTTAAGAACTTCGGACATCCCGGAAACCGGGACCCTCTTAAGAACCTCAAGGGGGCACCGCAAACAAACTGCAACAGGCTTTGCAGGTTTTCGGGCGCCAGGCCGGTCGACTCGCAACGTTGACTTAACTTACAAAACCGTTTTGACGAAAGAGTCGCGGTGCGTGGAAGCGAGTTGTTTGGCAAGCCTCTAAATTTCCTCTACAGGAACAGAGATGATGAGGAACAGATGCCATGGCCGATTCCTTTGACTCCACAATTTCCGAGCCCGCAGATGAGGCCCGAAACGCTGTGGGCTTGGTTTGGGCCTGGGACTAACATAAGGCACGACGCATGTTCACGAAGTCGTAGAAGTCAGACTTGTCCAGTATAGACCTCCGCAAGAGGGCCCCCGAACTCTCGAAAGCTTTGCCCTCAAAGCAAGCAGACTTTCCGGACCGATGGCGCGCCTACCATTGAACTCGTCACGGAGAATCTCCTTGATCCACCTTAGTTTAGAGGTTGAGGTTCGGGCTCTTGAAATGCGAAGTGACAAGCGATGCTGAGGCGCCCGATTCACTGCAAGTGATAAATTAAAGCCACCTGAATTAAAAAATCGATTCTTCGCGGCCCTATCCCGCACGGAAGACTTTCATTTTTGGAGCCCGTTTTCAGAAAACATCCAACCGCCCCTGTAGAAGTGAATCTTCTTGGAGGCCGTGAAGGAAATGGGGTCCTGCAGAGGCTGCAAGGCAGCGTTTTAGGGGCTTCGAGCCTGGCTGCGCAGCTTCTGAGGCCCAAAGCGAGTTGGCACGAAGTCTTACTGCAGGACTGAGGGTTTTGTAGATTCTAAGGGTTTCACCCATGAAGCTGCTGACTTTTGAGGTGTTCTAAGCCCCTCAGAAACTTGAATGGAAAGCCTCACCGGGCCTCACCCCCTACTTGTTGGCGGAGCCTGTGCTTTTTTGAGCGTGATCCTCGCCTGCACGCCCGCTGATACGGCCCCAAAACTAGCCACTTCACTGAGGCACCAAAAAAGTCACGAGGGTCTATTCAACCGGTGTGCCGCGGCCCTGCAGCCTGACCCAAAGAGTTCCTGGCACACAGAAGACGGGATATGGTGGTGCGATACCCAAGAAGTGCGCTGTGTGGACAGCTTGCACTGCTGACGGCTCTTAGCTTGCATTATCAACTATAGCGTTGTCGTGCCACATGCCTCCTGACATGATGCCGGTACTGCTGAAACATGCTCAAACCATGCTGGGAGCCAAAGCCGAAACGCTGCCTCAGGCACGGGCCCTTTATCGACGCCGGCACCTCATACGGCAAATGGCCGAGCCAAAACATGTACACAAACAATTAACATCTTGATTCTTAGGTGTGCCTTTATGATTTCTGCACTTGGGGGACTCTGGGTCACTGTGGCTTGGGACCGATGTCCGGCTCACGTGCTCGGCTCTCCTTCGACGTCACAAAGGCTTTGGTTTTTTTTGGGTGGGACTGAGGCCCCTTTTGTGTTTTCACAAACCCGGGTCGGAAGAGCTCGAGTTTTGCCAGCCTCCGTCACGCATGTGAAAGGTCCAAAAGTCAAGGGAAATGCCAGGACCCGGGCCCTCGAGCATCTCCAGCCTGGAAGGATGGGCTCAGGGGCGATCGCACCGATTTGTGGCTGCAAGCTACCCATCAACCCGAACTGGGCCCCACGCCCCTCTCCCAGTCGTTCCACTGCGAGCTCGCCAGTTTCTGTGAGCCTTGGCGAAAGCTTCGGGTAGTTCAGGGTGTACGGCCTGAGGCCGAAAGACGCTCCACATCTCACCTCACTGTCGCTTTCCCCCTGAAGCCGTGGAGCCCTTAAGCAACTGAGGCCCACTCTGGCTAAAGACCTGGTTGAACAAGTTCCGGTCAACCTCTGGGAGGTGCTTCGCATGCGTTTTCGAGTGCTTGCGGAGTACATTGTCTGAGGTGGGACATGATTCTACACGAGTGACAGGTCGTGCGCCCCCCCAAACTTGGCCCAATCCGAATCCTACGTCCTACGTCACCTCTCCCTGTACGCAACCACACGCCAGTCCAGGAACATGTCCGCCTAACAGAAACCGCAAGTTACATGCCTGTTTCAACAACGCATTTTCACAGTACCGAGCCGCACAACCGCAGGAGGCCCAAGCGGGGAGAGGAGGGAGGGAGGCAACACCGTCCTGCGCAACAAGTACCCTGCAACATAACAAAAAGGAGTGCAAGAACCAGAGGAGCCGGCGGGGTTGATGTAGCTCACAGGCGTGTCGCGCACCTAGCAAACGAAGCGCCATTCCAGGTAGCGGTTTCGACGTCAACGATTTACTGTCTGGTATGGCTGGCGGGGATACCCCGAACTCAAGGCCATTCGAAGTCCATAAGCTTCAGCGCTAGTCTCTGCACTCTGTTCTACTTCAAAACTGCCAACCGAGCTTTTTCATCACAGCCACCCGGCAACGTAAATCGATCTGGAGCAGAGGAAAGCTGTACACTGTACAGGCTCCTAGGGCAAATGGCCTTCGGCCAGCCCTCTCCAAATCCGACACTCGACACCCCAGGGCTCAGACCGAAACTCACCCCACTGGTGCAACTCCCAAAAAGCCTGTAAAGGTGGAGGGCACTACGAAAACACCTTGTTTTGCAATGGCAGTCAAAAAGACCACATGCCTCTTGCATTGGGGTATTTTGTCGTGGGCAAGCTCGCCAAAGCACCTTGTGTGTATTTCTGCCATGCCATGGCAGATAGGACGAGCCTGGTATCCTAAACCCTCACTTACAATGGCCAGCCATCAGCTGGTGTTGCGCTTGTGCAGCGCTTGCCGCAACTCCTTGCCAGCTCCGTGCATGTCCATGCTCCACAGCTTAAAGATGTCTACATTTTCGAGGCATGCGAGCAGCCGGGCTGCATGGAGAGAGAGAGAGAGAGGCATCACGTACAGCAAATGTAAAGAGGGGGGAGGAGAGGAGGGGAGGAAGTTACAAACCTCCGAAATCTGTGCCTCCAGGCAGGTGTCGCTTGTTATGCACCCTAGAAGCCGTCTCGTGCTAGCTCCAACCTTTGAGATATCTGCGCATGAGGTCCGGAACCCGCCTACAGACTTTGAGCTGCAAAGTCCAAATCCCCAGTCAGCAATTATCCCAAACCGACCCCAACGATAACTCCTAAGCTGGCGCATTCTCGCAAACTCCTCGAGGGTCTCGGCGAACCCGGCACTGTGCACGGCCTGTGACGTTGGCTCTTGCCAGGTCTCAAAGAGCTAGAGCTAGACTCTAGCTAGACGGGAGATAGGAATTTTCCGAGGTGCTCTCCTCCGAAGCATGACAGAAAGGTTCTCAGTGATGACTCCTCCCAAACACACTTAACCCCCCAGCTGCAAAACTCAAAAGAACCTCTCATTCCAGACCCGGGCCAAGCGACCGGGGCGAGGAGTACAGGAGGGCCTATCTACGCCCATCTCACCAATTTTATGCCACAACTGACCGCTTCAGGAGCCAAGCCTCGGCGGCTTGGCTTTCTTTCACGCGCTCGTCCAGCCTCACACGACCAAACACTCGTGGCAGGTACAGCCCGTCTCCTAGCACTCTAGCACTCTAGCCCGGATGAGCTTGCGAGGATTGATGCTGCAGCCCACTTGATCACGGACAAGAGCACTCACACCTAAACAGATCTGCCACCCACACTGAAAACCTTAGGAGGACTGCTCCCTTCATTCGCGGCTTGGCCGCTTGTCGGAGACCCGTTGGCAGAAGCGGCGCGCGTCGTGGAGCACACCCGATGCTCCCAGGGCAGCCGAGTGGAGGCAGGGGATGTAGATGTCCTCTGGTGAAAACACGTTGCAAACGACGGGTCTCATCCTGCTGTCGTCCTTAGGTTCTCCGTTATAGATAAGGTTGCTACGAGAGAAAGTTCTGACCTGAAAGCTCGAAGACTCTATGTCGTACAACATTGGCTTGTCCTGGCCAGCCTCCCGCCAGGTCATTGGGGCCAGGTGCCTGCTTCGGAGCTTTGATTGTCGGAGTGGTTCCTGCTCAGATGCTTGGACTCGGAGTTGTGTTGTCCGGAGTTCTCTTCATTTTTAGGAAACTGACAACGGCAGGCGGCGGACAGGGTAGTCGGAACGGGTGATGAAAAAAAAGTGAAAGCTGAGATCCCTGACTTGGCGTCAGAGCGAAGGAGAAGGCCGCGCGGTCACACTTGATGCCGGGTGCGAAGGCCCGAGCTCAGATTCTGAGACTTGATGCCCTCACAAACAAGGGCTTTATTGATTCTCTTCAACCCATCAGCTGCGGTCGAGCTGCTTGAAAAGGCCACGGCGGCTGCCAGCAACCAAGTTCTTTCCTTGCGAGAGGATAGAACAACGAATCGGACTGGAAGTTACACGCAGTGTCCCTACGTGCTTATAAGGTTAAAGCCTTTGGCCTGGCGGCCTTCGTGAAACACTTGCGGGACACAATGGGTGCTCCTTTGCCCTGCAAGGATTACATTATGAAGTTTTGCTCAGGACATCTCTCGCACACTTGACACGAACACACCAGCACATCAACGCACAAATGCACCTGAGTCCACACCACACAGGTACCACGAACAACGATACGCAGGGACGAGCCAAACGGGTGCACGTACGAGAGTCGCACAGTCGCACAGCCGCCCAAAGGAGATCTGCAGAAAGGCGCGCAGGAACACAAGCCCAACTGTGAGTCCGGAGCTTTTCAATCCGGCCTGGAACTGGGTCGAAAGGCATAGCCGAAGCCACCAAAATCTTCCACTCTTGCGTTCGGACATGTACTCTCTGGGCTCCCTCGACGTGTCAATGATTGTCAATGCAAACCCACGGCACCGAGTCTTCATCTCAGGCGAGCGGCCTTTCTTCGCTGATGCCTGCACCGTTGCACGAAACACGAGAGAAAGAAAAGCCTCCGAGTGCACGGAAGATTTACTCTGTCCGCCCGAAGTGCTTCAGGGCTCCCACTGCCACGCTTGCCCCACGTCTCCACAAGTCCACAATGGCCCGGCTCACTGCGGAAGGCTCTCTGCCGAAGGCCTCCGCAAGGCGGTCCGTCTCGCTGCGCCTTGCTTTGTTGGGGAGCACTCGTCGGGAAGTAGCAGAGAACTAAACACACAAGCAAGCGATGCTTGCAAGCCAGCCACAGATCTTGCAGGTACTTGGAGCAGTCGGGAAAGCTGCAGTGGTTCTTCCTCGACGCATGTCCATATGGATCTTGTGTGAACATGTTTAGAAGAAGCATCCGCCACGAGGGAACCAATCAGTCTGAACAGCAGGCTCAACTGCTGTCCCAAAGCTATCACATCCAGCAAAGTCGCAGCAGCCCTGTTGGGAGGAGCTCTAGCTGGTCCTGAGAGGCATGGATGGCTTGGCTACCTAACGCCCCACATCCGAACCCGGCATGTCCACAACAAAACCCCAAAACCCTTGAAACATCCTCCAGTACCCTTGACCTCATTCCACCTCAAGGCAAGGTCAAGAACAAGGCCTCCGGCGAGCGCTTGGCATTGAGGTCTGAGATCTCCTTCGAGAAAATGGGTCCCAAGTGGGGCTTTTGAGAACTGGCAGCTCCAGAGGCTCACAGGAAGGCCAGCGAGCGTAGATATCGTTCTTCCGCTGTCCACACCACATGCAGATAACCAATGCAGAGACTAAGAAACTACTCGGATTACTCGGGCAGCTTGCCTCGATGAGGTTTCAGATCGCAAAATTGTTGGGCTCAGGGTTTCGGGGCGCCGGGCCCTAGTGACCGCTAGTGCTGGCCCTGAGGCTGAACCGTCGAGCCGTCCTTGGCGCTGAAGAGGCGCGGGAGTCCGCGGTGCTCAGGGAGGAAGGTCGACAGGATGACCAACCTGGCTCTCAGGTTTCACCCGATGAGCTTTGAGCAGGTTTGGAGTGCTACAAGGGCTTGGTGCAAAAAAATCCGGAAGGGCGGTTTGTATGTGTGCGGCCCTGGATCATGGCCGAAAGGGGTTTCAGCGGGGGGATGCCGGGTCCGGGGCTCTGCCTTGCCCTTTCCTTTTCCCTTCGCAGTAAGAACAAAGCCGGAGACTTTCCTCTTTTCAAACCAGGTTAATTGCCTTCAAAGCGGTAAGTAACGAAAGAGTTTGTGCATTCGCGCACCGAATCCAAGTCTGTGTCTGTGTCTGCCCCTGTGTCCGTGAGCACGTGCTGTGGCCGGGGATTTTGGGCCCTGTACCGGCCTCTCGGCGCTGCGCCGCGCCCGTCGCTGGCCGGCCGCTGCGGCCGACAGCTTCGCACGGAGCTTGTCCTCTGACACAGGGGCCTGTTAGAGTGCTTTGAGTTTTCTGAAAGCGGCACTGGCAGACAGATGATTCAGAACACTTAGAGCCAGATAGAGCCAGTGGAAAAAGTAGAGAAATTGTGGCTGAGAAACTACAAAAGCAGCCAAACACGGTAGCAGCAAAAGTTGGAATTATGTACCAACAGCTCTTCTAATTTGTAATGGCCGCACTGAAAAAAATGGTATAAGTAATGGTGCTAGCAGGAGCACTGTCCTTCTTTCTTTCTCTCGCACTCTTGGCGTGGTAGTTTGTCTTTCATCCTTTCGTTTTTCCTTCCTATCTTCTTTCGTTCCCGTCTTCGTTTCTGTTTTGCTTTCGTCCGTTCGGTCCTTCGTTTTGTTTTGTTTGTTTCTTCCCATCCCTCTTGCTCAGTCTCTCTTGCTCTCTCTCTCTCTCTCTCTCTCTCTCTCTCTCTCTCTCTCTCTCGACAGATAGATAGAGCACACAACTGAACTTTTTGATAGATCCGCTGAAAGAACTTTCAGTTTCTCAATGCTGTAGGCCATTTTGGAATTAAAGCCCCTCTTGCGCCCCAGTAGATCCCCTGTAGCAACCCGTCCAGGTACGCACCCAGCCGCTGCTCCCGTGCAAGACCACGGAGTGCAGCCTGCACTCAGGCATTAGGGCTGGCTCTTACAGGATGGTCATGTGATGTACTTGTACAAGCCTCAAGGCCCTTCCCCTTAGCCAGCTTCGGAGCAAGTCATCTCGACCGCGAAACGTCCCTCTGCAACACAAAGCCTGTCGTTAGACCTCAAAAGTTGACGGCCAACACATACACACACTCCCCGAACTACAGTCGGAAACTCTCTTTCGCAGCATCCCCCAAATCCTACAGATTCTTAGGCATCCTGGTCAACACATGATGATTTCCGCATCCCAAATTTGGATCCGTTCATCACATTTCAAGCCCTCGCGCAGAAAAAGGGTGGGGCGTAGTTCAAACCGAATAAAAGAGGTCACCAAAGTAACCAGACCATTCGACCTTCGACCCTCAAACGCACATCACCATTCTTGCACCATGCTTCACACCCTCGCTTTCCGCGCTTTTTACAATGCCTTTTTTGCCCCTTCTGCTTGCCCGGCTTCGCAGTGCCTCGGGCTCCGAGAGGGGAGCCAGACCTCCTCGACGCTGCTTGGCACCTCAGAAGCCGACTGGTCTCTGATGCACGTTGAATCGCTTTAAGTTGATGAAGTACAACTCTCCAGAAGTACCAATGCTCACTTTAATAGGGCAAGTCGGCAAGCCCATATCCAAGAAATGAGGTTTCTGGTGCCTTCATAGAACTATCAAGGCAAGGCCAGGCTGCTGTGGTAGCGCAGTCCCTGGGCATAGAGTGCGGCCTCCAGCCGTGACTCGTGAACGGAATGGACACATCGCGTGCAGCATGGCGCATGATACCTCACGGAACTAGCGGGACAGCCAATGCTTCGCCTGCACCGCTCCGGGATTGGCGTCCCCGGGCATCACCGCACGCACGAAGCCCTGGCACCAGACAACTCACCAAACATCTGGGAGAATTAGGGCTTTGTGGCTCCACAAATCCCAGAAACCCAACGACCAACTGGGAATTTGAAGAGCTCTGGGTGATGCAGAAGGGGCCCGCAAGCCCAAACGAGACCCCTCCCATGCTCGTCGCGGAGCCGGAACTTCACAATTAGGCGGCTTTTTAACGAATGTCGGTGGGAAGGATTAGCCAGTTGTCATCTGCCATGTCATGCGTGTGTCGTCCACAGAACTAGTTAACTAGTTCCCATTGCCCCTCACAGCCGCAGCCTTCATGGAGATGTCTCTCTTCCACAACCTTCGGCTGCTTGCAAGCACGTGATAACGCCCTTGTAAACTTGTACTGTAGCGATCCTTAGCTATCAGAGTCTCCAATCCCAACATTTTCCCGGAGCCTTTTGAACTCCAACACGTCTCCAATCTCCTGAAGTGCATGCCACGGCACTGCTCGCAAAGCAGGGATGTGGCCTCCTGGCCCTCCCAGCGGTTAGCCAGCCGACAGGCCATGTGGATCATGAGACTGCCCACCTTCAAGCGAAGCAATTCCGAGGAGCGAGGCAATTTTGGTACCGGGAATGTACACCACATGTGCCAAACACCTACAGTTGCCGACGTCGCATCTTGAATTCAGAGGTTTCTGAGCCCTGATCGCCAATCATTGGCCAATCGCTCAGTTTACTCCAACTCCGTTCCGAGTGGCAATCCCTTGCGGCGTGCAGTTTGTGAGGCCGGCCTCCAAAAACAAACAAGTTTCAAGACATCTCTCTAAATGCGAAAATAATGCAACAGCAGCGATGCGACCGCTGGCATGCGGGTGGTCGAGAAAGGATAGCCAGAGGAGGTTCGGAGGGCGCTGTTAAAGGAAGCCCGTAGGTGGCCACAAGGCCCATACATGCTCCTTTCGTACAACGTGGGGTGCACGCAAGGGCCTCCACTCAGTCCACTTTGCTGAATGCTGGTGGAACCTAACTCCGTTTAAGGAGCACTCGACGATGTTAAAGTCTGACTTCGATGACCGCAAGCACGGAGAAGAATGAAATGCTTGCCAAAGCCACAATTTGCACAAACCCGGAATCCCAAGTGCAAGAAACGGTTCAACTTGTTCAACCTTAGAACCGAGTCCTGGAAATACTTCCCTTGGGGCGCAAAGAGCAGCGCGCTCCTCGCAGTGCATGTCGCTTGTTTCAGCTGAGGCTTTTAGGATTGCTTTTGAACTGCGGTCTTCTTCTCATGACTTCATTGCCCGGTTCCATGTTAGCATCCGAACCTCGGATTTCTTGGGGGCCAGCTTTTTGAGCCCTATAGAGGGCCCAACTCCGAACCCCCCCCCCCCCCCCCCCCCTAAACTGTACATGTTTTCCACACTTTTACTTAGCTTGCGGCTGACGTGTTCGCATGCAAGCCCTGCCGCACCTGCGCTTTGCCCTGTCGAGGTCACAGTCGTCTGAATGCCCTTCCTGCCCAAATGCGGAAGAGAGGGAAGGCTGTGGCTTTTTCAAGCAACTTGTCCGGGATGCTGCCAGTGCGAAACATGTCCGCCAAAACATGCACATGCAAACTCTGTGCGCGAAACAGCTGGCTGTGGCTTATTTACGCAACTTGTCCGTGATACTTCCTGTTTGCGAAACCTGCCCATTAAAAAGGCCTTGCAAACTTTGTGTGCCAGGGAGACTTGTGTCAGACCAGCAAGAATCCAAATACCAAATTGCGACATCCACACCTCCGATTATCTCCTCGCCCTCATCGTTATGCCAAGTCCCAAGCCCTGAGCTACGCCATCAAGCCTAGTAGCCTACCACCGGGTGTTCGTCATTGTTCATTGGATACTGTAAACGAACCTCGCAAGATCTCACATATCTTACAAGAAGAACACGCCCCTGTGGGGCCCGCGCCGGCTTTGCCAACTCTGGCGGCTCCTCTGTAGAGGGGGCTTAAAGGGTTGGCACGCCGTGAAGGAACTCCGTATCCCACACAGCTCCTCAGCCCAAACTGTATGGACTCCGGCCGGAAGCCCGACAACAGCCTACCTCCCAAAGTCTACCCCTGCAACGCTTGATGCTCTCAAGCCTGCGGGGAGCTGAGAAGACCCGGCACGGGACACGTCCGTTGAGTTCCGTGGAATTCATGCAGCTGGGCTCCTTCTCCCCATCCTGAAGTTCCGGAATGGAGCTCGGGTCGAGTCCTGTGCGAGGCAGTTAGGTAAACAGACACCAACCCCAAACATACAAACATACAGCGAGATCAGCCTTGATTGCTGTCCAAGTGGCCCAGGGCGTCCCACAACAGCTTCTTGGACGTCTCCTCAGCAGCCGTGCCAAAGAAAGACATGACAATGAAGAAGGAAGGAAAAACCTAAAGAAAGACAGATCGATAGAGGGAGGGAGAGAGCGAGAGCGAGAGAGGGAGGATGAGAAGCCAAAGAAAAATGTAAGGCAAAAGAACCAAGTATCAGTATCTAGCAGAGAGGTTTGGTGGCTTTCCTCGTGGCATCCTCTCTGCCTCCTCCCTGGTCACATCTAGCTCGAAACGTGAGGTCATGAAAGGCTGGGAATTAGATGGTTCAGGGCTTCATCTCCACATCGAATCGACGTATCAGCTCGGGAGTTCATGGTTGCTTTGGCCGTGGCTTCAGAGGATGTTTCTGGCCTGAATCACGAACATTCACGAACCAGTGAAGCACATCTCTTCCCAACCTTTTCCCATCTGGAGAGCTCTTTGCGGCATGGCGTCGTCCTCGCTCGGGGGAGGCTGCTCCTTCGAGGCTGTGCCTGAGAATACTCTGAGTCAGGTCGAAGGGGGAGGATTGTTACCAGCATGGTCGTTCTCCTTGCGATTGACCGATCATGTACAACAATATTATTGAACAATATGGAATTTCGAACCAGCTGATGGGAGCTAAGACCCCATGCTACGAAATCCTCAAGGCAAACCCTCCTCTCGTCTGGACGACACGACGCAGGAGACGGGACACGTCAAGACACGAGACGAGTAGCCGAAGACAAGACACGACATGACACCACAGAAGCGTGGGTTTCCCACAAGGACAGGCGCCGCGCTATGCCTGCGGTCTTCGTCGAAGTTCAGTTGCCGCCATGGTGCACAGGGACCGAACCAACCTACGGCATCCACGAGACACAGCCTGGCATGCAGCATATGCAGCATCCCGTCCGAGTCTGGGGTTGAGATGGGTTGAGGGTTTGGTGCGAAGAACAGTAACATATAGGAAGCTGTTGGCACTTCCAGGTAGGTGCATGTATAAGAAGAGGCTTCGTAAAGGGTTTGGCGGCAGGGCTGGGGGAGTTCAGGTGTAGTAGAAGTTCAGCACATGGGTTTTAAACTCAATGGCCCAAGAACACCCTACAAGGCATGGGCCAACACTAGGGCCGGTGGATCAGTTTTGATGTTGGGCCCTTTGGGTGCTCCGGTGTCTGATGGATCAAGCAGCAAAAGGCCCGAAGCCAAAAGTCCTATATAATCCTCCAAGCCCATCAACCCTCAACCAGCCTTCAGGCCTTCGCTACATGCCAACCCCAAAAGGCCCTCAGAACCCTGAAGCTTCTGATGTTGGAATTCTGGGTTTGATGCTGATGGCCTCCGCCAGCATAGCCAGCGCCAGACGCCGCAGACGCTTTGGCCACGAGGCCGCATCCTTGCGCTGGCACACGGGGGCTTCATAAAGCTTGAGCAAACCAGTCTAAACATATATCTGTTACTGGTCTTCCTGCAAGAGGTATGCAATGGGGTTTAATCAAGGGGTGCCCTGCGAAGCCGAAAAGCACTTTGAGAACCCAGAATGTGAATTTAGAGCCCCAAGCTGCCTCAGAGAGGCCGCCGGTGGAGCTGCGTTCCAGACTCCTGGAGGGGGCGCCTCAAGGAAAGCTGAGGAGTAATGGGGGGGGGAGGGAAGTTGCGTTTTAAAGGTTTCGGCTTGGTGTAGAAGTTTATGGCTTTAGCACCCTGAAGTTGAAAATCAACCTCTTAGGATCTGGGAAGCCGGCGCTGCAAGGACATGGAGTTGGCCCGCCTGGGCTGGGCAGCTTGAGGGGGTGCAGGAGGACTTGACAGGGGTTCCTCTCAAGGTTGAAGGCATGCACTGGGCTCGGTGTTTATGATGCGGCTCTTGCAAAAAAACGCTGGCAGCTTCATGTTCCAAGCTTGCTCAAAGGCAAAAGCGTACTTGATGGGTCTTTGCATTGTGTCTCGTCGTGAGCACAGAAATTGCGATTTCCGCAACTGCTCCCGTTGTTGTTGTAAGTTGTAACCTGCGTCGTGCACTTTTTGCTTGTGACTTTCACAGCCTATGAACAGAGTGGGCCGCCACATCATTCACGAATTCTATGCAACTACGAAGCTTGTTTTCCGTCGTCTCAACACCCGCAGCTCATGCATGATACGCGTGGAACAGCATGTGACGCGAAGCGTCATTGGCATGCGCAACAAGCGTTCGTGTGTGCGCGTGTGTATTCACGGTCCATGGACCTAACGCAACCAGTGCTCAAGGACAGGTTAGATCGACAGTGGTCAGGGAAACTGTCCATGCAACGCGCATAGTCGCAGCCTGCGTGGCACTACGTCGCAGCCAAGTTGAGCCCAACAGTGTGAAGCCCAAATAATAATGATAATAAGAAGAAGAAGAATCACAATGAGAATAAAAATATAATAGTATTTAAAATAACAAGAGTAATACTAGTTCATGATCTCCGATCGGGCGGCTCGAGTCCGCGCTTGGCCCAGAGCGGTGCCGCCTTTTCGCTGAAGCACACGGCCGCCAGCGCCAAGCACACAGACTGGGGCCCACCTTTCTAAGGGGCTTTCGTGACGGGCTTTGCAAACTTCAGGGAAGCTTAAGAAGCAGTATCATTGACAAAACAGGTAGCCTGCCACGGAAACATCCTTTCGCAGCCAAGGCCCCATTCCCAAACCCGTTGAAGCTGGAGCTCCCAAAACTTTTAACTCTACAGCCCCAAGCCCTCAGCACTCCTGCATTATCATATCCCGATGCACTCTCAACCTACATCCAAACACTGCCCTGCGCTCAGCAACCACGCAATGCAACCTCAAAAGCTCTGCTCGACCTTAGCCCAAGAATTCACGCCCACACCGTCGATAAGCCCACTCCACCTGGCTTTGTACACGCACAAAGTATCCATCAATAAACCCCAAAACAGCCCTGGAAACGGCTTTCACCAGCCGTAGAACTTTAGCCCTCAAATGCCCTCAACGGCAATCCTAAGCCCTGAACATATTGAACCCCAAAATGCAAGATTGGCCCGCCGTCTGCTTCCGTGAGGAGAGCCGCGGAGGGATCGGGCGATGCGAGGGCGCCCGCCAGAGCATCCACAGAGCCTTTGCCAAAGCACTCTGCCCTCTGCATCCCCTCATCTCTTAAGATGCCCTGAGCCTCCACCTTGAGGGGAGCCTCAAGATCCCTCAAGCACTCAGGATGCCTGAAAAGAAGTTAGCCGATTTGAGGCATGTTGAGGCTTGTTGTTGGGGGGAGAGCGGGGGCCTCCTTTGCTTCCTTTGCTTCCCTCTCTCTTTGGTCAAAAGCCTCCCCGCCGCTGCACGGCGCGCCGCGCGGCTGCCGCGGCCGCTTGGTGTATCTGGACCATCTCGCGGAACCACTTCTGCTCCTTTTGAGGGAAGCTGGGCCCTGGCCTTTGGATTTTCGCGTATGCCCCGGGCTCTGTCAAAGTCGGCCAAACCCTTTCGCATCCCATCGCCCACCTCTGCCGACATCTCCTGACCTTCCTTGATCGGACGGTTGATCAAGAGCTCCGCAGTCTTGACCTCGTCTGACCGTTTTCTTCATTGGAGCGAAGGAACAGCCTTTGGTTCAATGCTGATGAAGTTCAATGCTCATGCAGTGCTTCATGGACCCTAAATCAGAAATAGGACCCTTGAGGCCCACGATGTTCTTCAGGAGCGAAAGCAGTCTGGGGCATTAACGTAATTGGCAGTTGATTGGGGAGTTCGAAGGGTTGAAGGAGTTTAGGTTCAGGAGTTGAAGCTGAAGTGGCATTTCGACTCTCACACTGGTACACATGGGCGAGGCTTCTGGTACAGCGAAGCTGTGGGTCAAGCTCTGCAACTCTGTACAACCTGCCCTTATGGGCGGGAAGTTCATGAGACCCGCTTTACATTGCAACAACTGTCAGATTGCCCGTCTCTGCACCGTGCCGCCAAGCTCATGGTTCTCCATGTGTCAGGATTGGAATAGCAAGCCTATCCTGCACAGAACTTGTTTAGCAGCTTGGACAAGCACAGCACGATACAACATGTTCAAAACCAGAAACTGGCTACTCGTGCCAGTTTATTTTGTCGGTTGATTCTGGGTGTGCCGGCCAGTACAGCCGCACCCAGTCATGCATTACCATGCATGCAATGGCTACAGTGAGCATCCGGTCAGTACATGCCGGCTGCCCAGTACCTGTGCCGCATGGCAACTGCAGGGGTCAGCACATCTCGCAGCTTTGTCAGCGAGCGCTGAAGTTCAGGGAACTCTTGTCCCTTACCTTGGCCTCCAAACCGATGCTGTCCGTCGAGCCCTTCTCGGACTCAAGGCAAGGGGTGAGTGTAACTGAAACCAAGCCTGAAGGAGCGCAGTCGCACAACATGTATCACCAGTTTATCTTCGTGGCTTGAGGCCAAGGTCTATACGAGTCTATACAACAAATTTGTGCAGCGATGCTGTGGTGCTTACTAATTTCACTACCAAACACCTTTTCAGCAGCCACTGGCGAAGCAGGGAAGCCCCATCAAAGGTGAACCTCCACCGAAATCTCGCAGTTCTTGGTGTCTCTGCTGATCGACTGTCTGAAGTCCCAATCTGCTTCTTCTCCATTCCGCAGCTGGCAGCACGTCTTGTCAGCGAAATTGTGCTCGATCGGCTTTGCGCAGAATTGCTTGCGGGCTCCTTCGCCGATCGTGACAAAGGCGGTGACGCTGTCCACGCCTGAAGGCACGGTAGAAGAGCATTTCAACTCGATGCTACCTCGCCCCTTGGCTTTTTTGAATCCAGCACCATTCTTTCCACCAGTCTGCGTGGCGAGGATCACCATTCGGAAGGTGAAGGGCTCTGCCTGTCCGGGGAAGTGCAGCTGGAACTCCGGGCTAAGCAGCCTCTCTGAGTTGGATTCAAACTTCGCAGCATCCACGTACCACTTGACCAGCTGCCAGTTCTCATCCAAGTGTGTGGCTTCGAGGGTCCCAGGCCGCGGCGAGACGCTGGGCGAGACGCTGGGCGAGGTGGGCTTGGGCGAGCCCTGCGACGCTGGGCTCACGCTGCCCAGCAAGCGGGGGTATTCGCATCCTGGCTGAACCACAGGCATTGGAGAGGCAACAGGCATTGCCAGTGCCAATGGCACTGGCAAAAGCGACACCATTGGAGCTGCTTGGGCCAGGCGGGGCTGTGCGGGGACCCAGGCCGAGGCCGAGGCCGTCCCAGGCATGGGCGGTGCCTGCGTGGATGCCGGCGCCAAAGCCGGTGCCACAGCCGGTGCCGTGACAGTGTGGTGTGACTCTGTCGGCTCTGTCATCTTCTCCTCTCTAACCATCGCGTCCCATTCCCATCGGTCAGGGGTTGCGGAATGCAACAGGCATGGCTTCGAGATGCTGGCCTTGGCCGGCAGCGTCTCCTCTGACTCGTCGAGGCTTTTGCAGAGTGCTTCCAGGTCCCAAGGTTCCGGCGTCTCAAAACGATTCAGCGTGCGCAGGGTCTGTAGCTTTTTGACAGTCTTCACCGGCTCCCTGGCATCTGGCGATTCCTCAATCACCTCCTTGTCGGTTTTTTGCTCGGTGACATTGCCGGCGGTGCGGAGATCGCCTTCAAATGCCACGGGCTGCTCCATTTCGAGCTGCTCTTCAGTGCCCTCCTCCAGTGCCGCTTCGGGCGCCGTCCACGAGCGTTGCAAGAACTGGCGGGGGCGGGCCTCGGAAACCTGAACGAAGGTGTTCACTACAGTGATGTCGTGCTCCATGAGAACTGGCATCGCATCTGCTGACGCCATGGTGTCGAAGGTCACGGATCCACGAAAGCCGGGGGGCTGCGCCGGGATAGAAACTAGTCTCCTATGCACCTCGAGCCTTGAATCATGCCACATTTCCCAAGCCTCAAAAGTCCTCAAGCTCTTTTCTGCGCAAGGAGCTATACTATCCTGCACGGGGACATGCCACGACTGACCAGGGCTCTCCGACCCGGTTGACTTTTGTTGTGTCGCAAGTTGAGCTGCTTTGTGAAGAGCTTCAATATTCTGAATACCTATGTACCTACATGTCGCGACGAGTGCAAGTCAAGTACCTATCAAGCAAAAATAAAATCTTTGAATCTCCCCCCCCCCCCCCCCAGTGCGACGAAGTGGCCCAAACCAGTATTGGAAGCACGAAGCCTTGGCCTGTCAGGCACACGCAGCCTCTGCAATACAATGACAATGATGCCATGCTCTGACTGTATGTGTATCTATTCTCAAGTCTGGGCTTCTATGCAAGCCCTTCCAAATCGGTTCCAGGTTGCCCTAACGGACTTGAGCTGGAGAGATTCGCCTAAGTTTCGCGACCCAATGTCCAAGACAAGCCACAAGCCTCCACAATGGACACGGTCCCCGACTAAAGGTCCGCCAAATGGGCCCAGGGAGGGGGGGCTGCAGACCGTGGTTCTTTGGGGCCATTTGGGGCCGTGGGGCTGGAATTCAGGTGTGGCACCTGTTTCTACCCGCAAACGGCGCCTGGGACCTGGCACAGCGAGTTGCGGGCAAAGACCATGGCCAGGTACCCTTAGTCGGGAAATGTCAGGAGAAGCAGGGGTTCTGGAGTCGGTTTCAGCTATGGTCCACTCGGCCCTGCCACCAGCACTGAACTCGAGTAACTCGCCCTTGTGAAGTTCGTAGTCCAACTCCCTCCACACCGATACTTCACTATAGACAAGCCAGACACGAGGCTCGCCTGTGGCCTGACTATCGGCAAGGGGCTCTTGTACAAGGCGGAGTTCGTGAACCTTGCTTGCGCTGCGACGAAAGAGGCTGCGCATGTGGTGCCCACAACGAGTACAGCGAGCCTACAAGCCAGTCTATCATTGTCTATCATGTCCCGAGTCGGCGGCCAGCGGTAAGCATCCTCGGTTTCAGGCTCAAGTTCTTGGAGCTTCATTTGGGGGTGAGTGTTTTGGAGTTTGGGAGGGTTTGTAGCGCACATATAGGCGCCGCCCCGAAAGTCTAGGGTTCCTCGGGATCTTGTTCTACTGAGTCAGGGTCAAGCATCGAGGTTCGAAGCTTTCAGGGGCCCTTGTCACCCCCCTAGCCGATTTCGGCAGTGAAGCATGCAGCTACAGTTATCTGAATTCTCGAAACGCGCGGCGTCACAGATAGACGTTTGCAGAGCTGCGCTCCTCCTCCACTTCCTTCACCAGCTGGGGGTCCGCTTCCATCTCCACGGGGTCTGCGCTGTAGCTGAAGAGCTGAGTGAAGTGGTAGCAGAATGCTGAAAGGTCCAGAGTTTCGGTTGCAGTTGCTCGGAACATCCGCCTGAGGCGGCCCTTGAAGTGCTGCTCGTCAGCCACCTTCTGAAACCGAAGGCCTCTAGCCTCCAAGCCCTGGATGAGCTCCTCAGCACTGAGGTCGCCAGTGCCATCTTTGTCAAAAGAGCGGAAGATCACGGCAAGCTCTCTGGCATCCATCTGGAGGGCCTTACGGTACCGGAAGTCTGGGGAGGAGATCTGGCGTATGAGAATATTGACCAGCCGATGAGGCAGCCAGCGCACATAGAGGAACACAGCAACTCCAAAGGTCGCTAGCCATCCGGCCAGGATACCAAACATTATGGCCATGATCCATACGACATCAACATGGGCAGCCCCAAGCACGAAGAGGAAAACCAGAACGACCACTGCAACCAGGGGAAAACTGATCCGTGAAATCTCATCCAAGAAGCCAGCAGCATGGGTAGAGACTGTGGCTCGCAGGGACTGTGCCAGGACATTCTCCAGCACGCTGGCGAACATGATCACTGTGACACAAAACATTGTAATATCCATCCACAGCAGCGAAGATGTCGGCTTAGGAATCATGTTGTAGGCTATGCTCCTGAAAACCTGCAGGGATAGGAAGGAAACAAATCCGGTGGCGACCCGGGGCATGACCATGTCAATGGGAATGAAGAAGCCTGCGAACGGAATGAACAACAAGGCCGTCAAGGGCCAAAAGAAACGGATGAGAAGTATGGTAACCCGTCTCGTCATCGTCACCTTGATGCAAATCGATGAGGTCGCCAGGGATGGGTCCGACCGCCTTGCTTCGATAGAGTCAACAGCGAAACCTTTGGTTTCGAGTTCCTTCACAAAGCTCCTTGAAGCAATGCTGGCGATGTCCGAAGCTCCATCCCACCTGGTCGCAATCCTTTCTATATGCGCGGGCATGCCCGAGCCTTCTGGCCCTGATAGAGTTTCCTGGAACTGCGGATCCGAAAAATAGTCGAAAGGTATGCATAAATCCAGCAGCTGTGTGTCAAAGGGATAGTGCACATATGACAAGGTCACGTCAAAGATCGTTTTTTCGCTGTCCACCCAGATTGCCTCGAAGTCGTTAGTTTCTGGCACCGTCATTGCAATGATGGGGTCAAATTCAGTTATGCCCCTTGGGTTTGACGAGGTCTTCAGCTGGAGGTGTACTGGAATGGGGGTCCAGATTTCTCCAGCAACTTCCAGGCTGGGGAGGTCTTTGCCCAGGTTTTGTGCAGATTCAAAGAATGCATTCGCATTTTGACCAAAGAGGGAACGATTCAGGGTACTGTCCACCCACCGACTGGCATGGTTCCTTTCGGCTTCGCTGCAGCCAGTTGTGTTACAATGTGACTCCACGCGCTGCATCATGGCTTCACGCCACCGAGTGTCTTTCCACCAAAGCTTGATGAATACGTATACAGCAATCTGCTCTGCAGGCTCATTCAAGTCATGCACATCCGTCAAATACACGCTAATGTTGACAGGGTTGCCCCGCGCTGACTGCGACGGTGGCCATTTCATGTCTGGATCAACCGCTTCCTCCCAAGGTACGGCACCACCTAGCCGCCCTAGCCAAGGCAATGCTACAATGAACCATGGAACCATTGCAAAGGCACCGAGGAAAAAGGGCAACAAAGGGTAAACGATTTGGAAAGATGTCTCTGTCCTTCAGGCTGGGTCTACGTCTACGTGAGGCAGGCTCACATGAGATGGTCATGGCATGTCATGGTGCGGCAAACGACTGTGTCATCTGTGAGCCGGCCAATGCTCGCACTGAGGCGGGTTGAGTGGCGGGTTGATGGTTACTTTGTTGGCACCTCACACAACCAAACCGGTGGCGATTATCCAAATCCAGCTCGGTCGGTGGGCACCAAGCCGCTAAGCCCGAATGGTTATTTGCATGCGCAAGCGCAGCCCACTCCACGTGTTGGGAGCCGAGATTCCGAACCGTCCAGGTCGAGGACAGCCACGTCGGGGGCCACCTGCCGGGCGTTGCAAGACTTGTGTGTAGTGGCTGATGCCTCAAAGAAACCATGCCCAGGCTTGTTGCGAATCCTTACTAGATTCTTTGATTCTTAGAATGATAAGCCTGAGATCAAGCCCGCACAGCAGCGCCACTAATCTGTTCACCCCGCTTCATCTCCAAGAACTTCTACCCATGCAAGCGCTGCGCTGCTTCCTATGCGTGGCCTGCAGTCACACCCCACGAAACATCCAAGCGCAAACCTGGCATCATCAGTTGCAGCAATGCCTTGGCCTGGGCCCCAAACCCCCGAGCAAAAAGCAAGCCTCCCCATACAGCCTCAGCCTTCTAGACCTGAACCCTAAGCTTTGCACGGTTACAGGCAAACCCTTGAAAAAAGGTGGAAGAAATAGTTTGCACTTTTTTTCTTTCGTTATGTTTACCTCCCTTTGCTGGTCTAGGGCTTCTGATATTTAAAACTGCAGAAGAAATAGTGGTTTTTTCCTATCCAGATGCACAGGAAAAAAGAGTTTTTTTGATGTTTATGGCATGATCTTCTTGTAAACCAAGCTTGCAAGGCTTTCAAAGAAGAAAAAAAGCAAGGGGGGAGTTGAGGCGCACTCCTCCTTCTCTTTTCTATTTGCAAACACAATGCTCGCATGTCGGGTTTGGAAAAGGATTCGCATGCTTTCTTAACGCAATTCCTCTTTGTAACATGATCTTTGGAACGCAAGCTTGCAGGGCTTCAAATATGTGTTTTCTTTGCTAATTTATTTGGTCATGTCTTTCCTTCTTCTTTTTCCTGTATCCATTGAAAAAAGGGGCCTAAACCCATCCTAAGCCCACAGCTTGCCTCAGCCCCTAGGAACCCTCGGCCTCGCCCGCTTCGTCCCTCAGCGGCTCGGAGTCCAAAGCTAAAGCGGCACAGGCCGAGCTGGCCCAGGTCGTCGAGACCTCGAGTCACTTCAATGTCAATCCCCTCAAGTTGCGAAGCAAACTCCCCTACTCAGCGGCACTAAGGGCTTTTGAGGGGCGGCACGCAAGACACTTCCTTAAGTCCGCCTCCTCAAGCATCAGCCAGACAAGCATGCAAATGATGCACATAAGCCTGCTCTATAACCGGAGCATGAAGCGATCTCGATTTCGGGATCGTAAGTTGCAGGCGTGCTCCACGATCAGCAGCCTTAGCCGAAGGCTGCAGGTATCTCTATCGACACATCCCAACTCTGCAGCCCTCCAAACTCTGGGAGATGTACCTGGGTCCCTGCGACCGTCAGCCACGCCAGCCATGAGCTATCCGAAGGTGAGAAGAGCAGAGGCAGGAAAGAGTTAAGAGAGGAGAGGAAGAGGATAGTGGAGGAGAAGGGACCAGTGCTACAGAACACATGTACATACATGCATACATACATCTTCATCAGGCACTCAAAGCAAGGGCTTCTATGATATCCGAAGGCCATCCGGCAAAAAGCCCGGCAGCCGGAGAGATTCTGAGACTCCGAGGCGGCGGCCAGGGTTCTACGTCAGAGGCATCGCTGCGGCGGCAGCGGATGAGAACGCCCACACAGCCTCCCAAGATCTGCCAAAACATGCACCAAAAGCCTGGCACTCTCAAAAGCTGTGTGTTAGCATTGACAGGCAGACGTCTTGACCAACATGTTCTTCACAGCGAGTTGCTTTGGCTTGCCACTGGGATGGTATCCGCAGGGCAGAACATTGGTGCAATGCACTCCCGTGGCTTTAGAGCGGATTTCAGGGTCCTTGCCATGCAGGAGTTGTGTTTGTCGTTGGTGGTCTGGGAGCTAGGTTCAGTCTAGGCAGCTTATGTGATATCTGGTCGCTTTTGCTTTTTCTGGTGGAGAGTGCGAGAAATGATTTTGTCAAATTCGTTCCTCAAGCCCAGCCTATCGCGTACATCGCCTCTTCTGCAGTTAGCGTCCTCAGGATTGGGTTCAGGGATCGGTGGCGGCCGGCTTGCAAGAAGAAGTAGGACTTCAAAACCAGAACTGGAAATGAGAAGGGGCGAACCCTCGAACATGACTATCCCCACCTTGCATGCTCCGAAATGTGAGGAGACCCTGATCTTGGCAAAACTACACTAGGCCCCTATCGCAAGCTGGGGTCTCGAACTCCTTGATGAGCCCAACTCCCTCCCGCAGCTGCTCCATGAAGCTGGTGCCCGTCAGAAAGCAGCACCTCGTTGCGGCGTTTCGGAAGGCTCTCGCATCATGATGAAACAGGCTGCAGTCACTAAGCCTTTGGCAGGCGGCCCTTAGAGAGGCTTCCTGGACCAGACCCTTTCGAGTTAACCCGCGCAGCAACAACAAAATTGACAAGCGTAACATCGCCACCAACCTTCTGAGGCCGCGCTCAAAGTGCCAGAATACCATAAGCACCTACATTACATTGAACTAGCCCAAGCAAAACCTTAGCAGAAACATCTTTCAGTACGCCAGGCCACGGAGCGTGCGCCGCCTCAGCACTATCCAAAGCCAGCTTGGAGAGCGTCTGGAGGTCGTTGGCCCACCGCTCCTTCGACAGTCGAGAGTGGAGTGGCTTCTTGGCAGCATTTCTATGGACAGGAAGTGCAAGACCGGCAGCACTCCAAAAGCTGGATTCGCTAGGCCTTTAGTTCCCGTCACATTCGCTGCCCCTCCGTGCCCAGTCTGCTGAACTGCTTTAAAGCAAGCTTGAAAAAGTTCCTAAAGTCCTAAAGCCGAAATGACCCAAAGCCTCCCAGCTTTATCCATTGTGAAGATGGCATTCGTCCGCAACTTGAATTTGAACAACAACATGCTGGAAGCATCGAGCAGCATGTCCTAATCTATGTACTATCAAGCTCAACGTCATGAAGCCCCTTAGAATCGAACAAAATCCCGCCGGTGCAACGTTGACAATGACAAACAGTTCAACAGCCAAACTCGGAATAGTGGTAAGTTTGCCTTGAGAAAACGATGTGCGCCCCCCCAGGCCGCGGGTCAGAGATTGGGGTCGGCTTGCCAAGATGTAACCCCCCTGTAAACACTCCCCCCCCCCCCCCCCCCCGTGTGCCCGCCCACCTTCTCGGTGATGCCGTCTCCATCCTCCGGCAAGTTCTTCTTCGCACGCTGGAGGACCTCGAGGCTCGACCAGCGGTCTCATTCTATGCTCCTTTCGGCGAGAGACTGAGAGGGAGGGAGGGAGGGAAAGAGAAAGAGAAAAGAGCATAGAGAAAAAAGAACAGAGAGAGAAGCGAGAAGAGAGAACAGAAAAGAGAAAAGAGAGAGAGAGAGGCAGGAGAGGGAGAGCGAGAGAGAGAGAGGGAGGGAGGGAGAGGGAGACGGCGGGCGTGGACTGGGTATGACTGAGTGGACGCAGGGGACTCTGAGCAACCGGGCTCGCGCCCCGAAGCGCATGGAGGAGACCCGGCGGAGCCAAGCAGCCGCGCCAGGCTCCTGTGCTTTGGCTTCGGCACCACTCAGCAGAGTTTTGAGATGGGAGCGCATGCTGCAGAAGACGCCTAAAACATAAACTGAAGGCCCGCAAAGGCTGTAAGTTGTAAACAAAGACTTTAAGCACCCGAGCTGCTCTGACCTCGCCTGTTCTGCTGCTTCGTCAAGCGTGGCGGCTTCACTCAAGGCATTGGCAATGCCTAGGGGCCGCAGGCTGAAAGACATCTGATTGCGCAAGCAACAAAAATCGTTCCTGGTTGCTGCGAACCTTAGCACTGAAACATGCCTGCGGTGGTTGTGGGAGGTGGTGCTGCTGCCAGCGATGCGCTTAAAACTTGACGCGCCCGAGACGTGATGCTTGTGAAAATCCCCACCCAAGAAGAGCACAGCCACTTGGCCAATTAGGAACCTAGGAAGAATCGGGAACGGCCGAAACCAAAACAGGCTCAAACGATCAAAGTCTTACAGCCTGTGCCCTTGGATGCCGAAGGCCGATCCAACCAGGGCAGTCTTAGTAAGCGCAACACCCACACCCATACCTGAATCCAGAAACCATAAAAGCATCTTTACAGCATCTTTCAGATCTGTGGGCGTTGGAGGCTGCAGCTCAGCCCGCGCATCCGAGCCTTAGCAGCAGCAGAAGCTTTTTGCAGTCTAGTTAGCCGACTCTGGGGCAAAGTTCGCATCATGTCGGATGTCTGATGCCTACAACCGCATCGCTGCTAGTTGTGATGGCTCCATGTCGCCTCTTGCCCTCTTGTTGCATCCTGTGGGTGTCGCCAGAAAAATGCCCAAGCACAAGCTTCCAATGCTACTGACTGGACTTCCACGCTCTAGCAAGCCAATCAACAGGCACAGTTTCAAAAGGTGCATTCCGCCACTGGCAAGAAGGGAATGCTTTTGGTGCTTGCACCGCTTTCGCCAGGACCGGGAACCTTGCACGTCACGTGGTTCAAGGCCACCTTCAAACGCTCAGCCATGAACCTATCAATCCCAACAATTGCTGGCCAGGTGGCGCCGAGCGCCGCCCTTAAAGGGGCCTGCTGCCTGCAGCATACTAGAGGCATTTCAGGTAGGATGTTCGGAGGAGTGCTAACCCGATGAGATGCAGTGAGACACAGAGGCGCGAAAGGGCAAAGGAACAAGGATGCAATGCCATGAGACCCCACGAGCCTTGCAAAGGACTTCAGCTCCTTCGTTGCACGCCTCACGAGATGCACTCGATGAGGCGTGCCGTCCGTGCCGTGTTCGTGTAGGGGCAGCGAACGGACTCATCTCTGTGCAGATTCGGGATTAGGGCAGAATATGGCAGAATGCGCGATGGTCGACCCCAAGCTCAAGCCTTTTGCAGGCAAGCAAGGATCCAGGGTTTAAGCTATTGGGCCATAAGGTCCATCTGCAACCTTGGCCAAAAACAGCACGAGCTCTGCCAGGCGGCTGTATCTTGAGGTCCTCGGCCGCAAAGCGGAGACCTGGCTCGGGAGTTGGTGGTTTGACCTGGTTCAGGCAAACCAGTGATCCTTGAGACACTCGGGTGCAAGGTCACGAGAAAGGGACCCCAATACTTCGCCGGATCACACAGACCATGCAGCCTGTCATAGCTCACCGAGAAACCCTCCGACCGCCGAAGTGCAAACAGAGCCACGATCAAGCCACATCTTGATTTCCGTCCGCATGGGGCCTGCGGCAAGTCGGGGGCTTGTGCGAGCTGTACGCAATCGAACATCACGTTGCACACACCTGTGCAACCCAAGCCGACCCTACCAACCGATGCCGTTCGAGACTGTCACGATGTGATGCAACTGAAGGCGCACGCCCACGTTTGCAAACCCTGACAAGCTGCACGTGCTTCATATCGAATGAGTAGTTTCCATTCCTCTTCAACAGTATAGCAGCCGAAACAATGTTGCATTGCTTTCGATGCAAACCATCAAAAACGATGGACCATGAAACATTACTGACCTTGGCCTTCGCCAAAATGGGTTCCTCCGAACTCTGACTTTGACTTCTTCCTCAGAGAACCTATATCTTCGTGGACCGGACGGCCATGCTCCTGCGTGCTACCATGTGCTACGATTGCACATCCGCCTAAAGCCACCAGGCTCGCCGACCGAAGTTGCTGTGCTGCCTTTTCCTGGGCACGTGGCTCTACGAGGTGCTCTAGACGTGGCTCGGCAAAATGGTTTTCTGTTGTGCCCAGCCCCTTCTCAACCCAACACCTGGACCATGATAGAACGGACTTGAACGGACTCATATGGACTCCCTGCAGGCCGATCCGCCAGCGCGAATCCCAGCTGCAGACATCGTCCGAGTGCTTGCACGACTGCCTCTTGGGTGAGCTTCTCTGAACTGTGGAGACACGTGGAGCTTAAGAGTCTCTTTCAGGCACTTCCTAGTCCTGAGCCCTGGGTAGTAGTCCTGGGAGCTCAAGACGACATGCAACCTTTCAAAAAAGCAATCGGCTTAAATCGCGTAAGCAGCAATACCACGTACCACGTACCACTACAGCAGCAAAACATGAACCAGAACCCCCTCCTGGCCAGCTTTGTCGTCCTTCAGGAGCTCGAAGCCTGTGATGGCCCCCCCCCCCCACCTCCTTCCCCGGAACCTTTCTGCCACTCTTTGCTGATGCTCTCTCTGCTCTCCACAGTAAGCGTCTCGGCTCGTTCGCTGCTGGGACCCCCGGGCTTTTGTTGATCGGTTCTGTGGGGCGCTCTTGTGTCCTTGGGGGGGGGGGGGGAGTGCTCTTGTTCTGAGAGATGCCATGGACCTTTGCTCTCCTCATAGTGGTAGTGGGGCTTCTCGCACTTCCTTCTTCACCACGGAGTTCTCATTCTGCAATAGCCGGTGGATGTGGAAGCTCGGAGGGCAGAAATGCCTTGAGATGCTCAGACGAACCGAGACATCATTGGTTCTCCCATGTTTCGCATTTGAGATGCCTGTTAAATGGTGCAGTTCTTCTATGCTCCACTTCCTGGAACAGATGGATTGGGCGCATCTGGCTGAAGGGATTCACCGCTGAGGGGCTACGAGGACTCCGAATTTCTAGAACATGGTGGTTGCCTTTGCTGCTGTTACTGGCTGCAATGGCCCTGCGTGGTCTCCTGCCGTATGCCGATATCCAAGTGATACCGTTCGATCCCGGAAGTGCCGCAACCTCAGACACAGCTCTTGTAGTGCTAAATCGGACTGAAGCTTGGGTGTGTGAGAGACTGTTGCATCCTTCAGGGCTTTGGGAAGTTGCAGGATTTTTGGGTTGGTTGCCCTTTTCAAGCTGGCCATTTGTCTGTGATTTGGCAAGGCCATCTCTCCCCATTACCGGAGGTTCCCCTCCGTTTCTCGCCCTACACAACAGCCATTATATATGCCAAACCAGGTCCTCGCCGGAATGGACTTCGTGGCCCAGATCCTTACAGTCTTGCCCTCAAATGCCCCGACACTCTCACCCTGCTTGGCAAGCGCCGGAGCATCATTCAGGAGGTTCCCCTCCGAACTCCATTGTTGCATCAATTCCTCCCCCACGCCAGCCCCCTTCACTTCGCTGGCCCATGCCCTCCCTGAAATTGCTGTGGCACCACGCTGACCTTCGCGGAGGTTCCCCTCCGACCCTTTCCTTTGTCTGTCGAACTCAGGCTGGTCCCGTGACGCTGGCGCTTTCGCTTCCAGCCGTGACAGGACGGACGATGGGATGCCAATTCGTATTCACAGAGTCGGTGTGTTGCATTTGTTCTTCTCCTGCACCGTTGCATCAGGCGCCTCACTGTACTCTCATATTTCCTAAAATTGGATGTGAGCTGCTCGAGTCCTCCCTGAGTAGCATCAAAGGCTGTGAGGGTAGCGAGAGCCCGTTGTCACATAGCAAACAGCTTGAAAGCCATAGCTGCATGGAGCAGCGCCAGCCCAGGCAGAAGACGGAGCGTGATTATCAGCGCGAGGCGAGAAGACCCGACAAGAGGACTCGTCAATGGCTGCGCGATAGGATGCAACAAGAATCGGCTGAAGAAGAGGAAGGATCCAGACGGCCTCGTACGCCACGGCCGCTCACAGTGTTCAGCATGCCGCCCAGCCCACCTAGGGCACGACGTCAACTCAAAGCTGAAATCCATGAGCCTCCGGTACCACCTCCTCGCGCTCTGCCTGCAGACACGCAGGATCTCGAAGAATCTTCGATGTCTTCCCCGCCGCCGCCGCCGGATATCATCCAGCTTGATGACGAGGACGTGTGCCACTCGGAGCATGCCACCGACATGCAGTTGTTCCGTCAGGGCCGCGGCGCAGACCTCCCGCTGGACAACATGCCCTCATGGGTTGCGCAAGCCCTGAGGAACCCGCCTACCTTTGCTGCGCCTGAGGAACCGAAGCCGAGTGTGACTGGCCAGGTGGACGCGCGCAGTGATGGGATGCCCCCGTTGTGTGGGACGGTCTCACTAGTGCCGGCAACTGACCCGGAGCAGCATGACACCTGTGAAGGGGCAGCATACATGGCCATGCGCAGTTCTCTGACTGGTCTGTTCCCTGCTGTGAGGAGAGCAAGGTGCACTCGTAGCCTGACTCTTGCTTGGGTTTGGGTGAGGACCGGCCCGCGATGCCCGCTGGCCCTGCTGCAGACAGACACCTCGGAGGTTTCTCCTCCGCTACGTGTCCTTAGCTGGGGCTCTCGGTACCAACATCGCCGCCAAGGCCCGGCAAGAAGAAGAGAGAGAGCTAGGTGGGTGCATGCAATTCCAGACTGGACTTATATTGCAAATCAGCTTCACTCTCTAGCCAAGACTTTGACGGCTAAATTTCTTAGTAGTTGGTTGTGCACGCATTTTTGCGTTTTAAGGCCAGTTTTCTTGAGTGCTGCGGTCCATCGCAGACCGCTCCCGTCACCTAGGCGCTCTAGTTCCCCTTCTAAGGCCATTCCCCCCAACTCCGATCACTCACCAGCTGACAACTTGCACCAGCCCGGGTGCGTTTCCGCAACACATAGTTACACTGCGAGCTGCCCAGGTCCCAAGTCCTGGGGTGGTAGGTTGCTAGGAGCTCTGTTAATACAAAGTCTCATACCATCCCGAGCAACTGCCACTGACGCGAGGGTTGCAGGCATAGTCACGAGGCCTGCTGAAGCTTGTAGAGCAAGTAGCATCACAAGCTCACTTCATGAAGCGAAGCATCGTGGAACTGATGTTACCCATCAGCATGAATCATCCGTCCAACAAACTGTTTATGCGCAACTCTCCAAAACTGGAAAGCGTTCCTTTCATAGAGCTGTCCGCAGAGCCAACGCTAATGGGTCCACCATGTATAGGGGCCGGTTGCACACCTTAAAATCCCTAGGCAGTGCTCCCCGTCACTCGGTAGCATCCCCCTCTACTGAGAGTCGTCATCATGCTCCCTCTTATCTTGCTGGCAACTCTCCTTCTCGATGGAGGATAATGGCCTGGAACACTGGAGGCCTCACCACGGCCAAACTTCTTGAAGTTGAGACTTGGTTGGAGCAGTGCCATGCAAGGGGGTCCATGGTGCACGTTTGCATACTCACTGAAACGCACTGGAGCTTTACTTCAGAATGGGAGCTGGCCTCCTACAATGTTGTTCATTCGGGCCTTAGTAATCGACAAGCTGGCATCCTTGTTCTTGTGCACAAAACTCTTGTGCCAGGCTCCGCCATTCGCTTCACGGCGGACATGCCAGGTCGACTTCTGATGCTGAGGCTTGAGACCTCCCCTGCTACGTATGTTGTAGCCACCTACCAGCATGTTTGGTCTGAAACCCCCAGCGCCGACGATTGCCTTGCTGCTCGTGAAATCTTCTGGACTAAGCTGGCTGCCACCATTAGGAGTGTCCCCTGGAGAGCTCAGCTCGTTGTGGCAGGTGACCTTAACACCCCCTGCGTTGCGCAGGCGCCGTTCGTAGGAGAGGGCCTGACCCCCATCACGGGTGAGATACGGCAACGAGACCAACCGAGATTGCAACAGCTTCTCACACAGTTCAACCTCGTAGCCCTCAACACCTGGGGACGTAGGAAGCATTGCCACACTTATCAGTTTGAGCATACGACCAGCGTGCACCGTACCCAGATAGACTTCATACTGTGTCGTGCGCACCATGCAGATCCACTTGCTAAGTCAGCTCGCCCCATCAGAGCGCCCTTTGTGCCCGATCGAGGTATGCGACACTTCCCCCTTCTCACCACACTTCCCTCCCCTGTTGAGCCCCGGCAGAGCAAGCCAAAACGTACCACCCTCACTGCTAAAGTTGTGGCCCTGAGTTTGCAGGAGGACACCAAGCTCGCTGATCGCTTCAGTCGTCAAGCTGGCGCTCTCATGCCGCCCTGCTTGGTTGGGGACCCAGCTGCTGCTCTCAACAAGGTGCTCCATCAAGCCTGGCAAAATGTTTGCCCCCCTAGACCACCTTCGACAAGGGCTCCAGAACATAGGGCGGTAGGTCTTGTTCGACGGCTTTGGGAGTTGAGACGGCAGCGTGCGCAACTGCCCCCTCGGACTTTCTCAGTCCTTCGAGGTTGGCTCCAGGCGGCCCGGCTCTCCAGGGTCCAACGCCTGCTTCGGCAGGCCTGCAAAGACAAGAAACGAGAGAGGGTGAGTGCGCTCCTTCAAGAAGCGGAGTCATCCAGACACCCGTCCGCCATCTTCAGTGTTGTGAGACGGCTTGCTCCGAAATCCCGCACCATGCGCGTGCAGCTGCGCGACAAAGACGGCAGGCTTCTAGCGGGAGCCGAAGAATCGGAACACATAGCTGCCTACCTACGTACGGTGTATCATAGTACCGACACCACTGCTGCCCCACGGGAGCCACCGTTCACGGGCATGAAGTTTGAAGAGGCAGACTTAATACAGGCGCTCAACAAGCTAGGTGCAGGTAAAGCCCTCCCCGCCGGTTTTGTTCCTGCAAGACTGTGGAAACTTGCTCCAACACAGGTGGTGAGGGCCCTGCTGCCGGCCATGAATGTCACTGCCTCAGCCTTGGAGGCCAGCTGGCACCGCGTGCAACTGCATCTTATACCTAAAGTTCAGCTGGTCAAAGAGCCCAAAAACTTGAGACCCATAGCACTGTTGCATCCCGCCAACAAGTTGCTTGCTACTATGATAGCTGACAAAGTGCAGGATAAGGTGCTAGCATACCTCACACATGTACCTCAATGGGCGTACCTTCAGGGGCGATCGACTTCGGACGCTCTCACTGCTGTGTGCGCGCACATGCATCAAGTTAGAGAGCTGCTTGCCAGTCAAACTCGATCGTTGCCACAGCGTTTCCAGGGATGCGAGAGGCACCAGGTAATAGGCGGCGTTTCCATCAGTCTGGATGTCAAAAAGGCCTTTGACAGCCTGAGCCATGCATTTCTAGCTGAGGCGATGAGAGACGCAGAATTTGAGCGCACTGAAATCGACCTAATTTTGCATTTGCACAGTCAGGCCTGCCTCTGTGTTGGCTCCCACCGCGATTCTGCGCAAATATTCCTCGGCACTGGCGTGCGCCAGGGGTGCTCCTTGTCGCCATTGCTCTGGTCTTTAGCTACAGGTAGATTTTACCGACTCTACCTCACAGCTCTCAAAAACCAGGGTTTATCTGAGGGCCTCACCAACATGTTTGCAGATGATGTGTTTGGGAGTTGGGTCTTCAAGAGTCCTGAGGCCTTCAAGAAAGCCATTCGGGCCATTGGAGTCCTAGTGCACACCCTCCAACAGGTCGGGCTTCAGCTTAGTATGGAAAAGACAGTCGTTCTGTTGGCTATCGCAGGCACGAGCTCCCCTTCCTTGCTGAGCAAATATAAGGCCCAAATCGACAACGTCCCACATCTGCAAATCCCTGTGGGTAGGGACAAACTGGCCTTTAAAATCGTCTCTTCGCACAAGTACCTAGGAGCCAAGGTGTCGTACCGGGGCTTTGAGTTGCTCAATCTCAAACATAGATTGAATACCGCTTGGGGCTGCTTTTGGAGACTGCACCACATCCTGATACATAGATCGCTGAGCTTATCAACTCGCGTCAGACTGTGGCAAGCCTGTGTTTTCAGTGTCCTCAGGTACTCTCTGCACAGCGTGGGCTTGCCAGCCCAGGGCCCCAGCATGATTCGACATGCTGTGCATCGTCAATTGCGCCTCATTGCCAGATCACCTGCGCATCTCTGGCATGTGACAACTCAAGACATACTCCAGCGACTTCAGGTGCGGGATCCCTGGAGCACTCTGTGCGAACAATACCACGCTTTGCAGCAAAGGCCGGCTCTCCTGACAGGGCTGAAAGAGGTAGCTCCTTGGCTTCTTTGCTTGAACCACACCTTTGCAGCAGAGACTTGCACGGGCTTAGCCGCAGGCCCCCACCCTCACACTCTTGTCAATCACACTCCACAGGCAGTCGTTGCGCAGCGCGTTCGTGACCAGCGCGACGCCAGAAACGTGCACTCCTACAGACACCTAGTCTGCCAGGTATGCAGTAGACACTTTGACTCCCTCGGAGCTCTCAGACTTCATGCTGCTCATGCGCACAAACGGGAGGTCAAAAGCCTGAATAGCGCAGAAAACACCACACCTGCTGAAAAGGGTCTTCCTGATCACCCGCCCCCAGCCTCTGCCGCCAGAACAGATGGCTGCAAGCCTGCGCAAGCCCGCCGAAGTGTGCAGGTGCATGCCCAAGCTGCTCTCCTGAGTCAGGGCCTGCCTGAAGCACTGCAGTCCGCAGACCCGCAGACAAGGTTTGTGTGGCTGCACTCGCAGCAAGGTCTCTGTGTATGTAGGCACTGTCAGAGAGTGTGTAACACGTGGGATGACTTGAAAGTGCATATCTTCTCAAAGGCCTGCTCTGTCTTGTTTCCTAATGCTGCCGATCAGGCAAATGCTCCCCTGCCTCTTAACGAGCTAGGGGTCTATTGGGATGGCGCTGTGACTCCTCTCACCGCCTGTGGGTGGGAAAAAGTGGCCAAACACTTGCGGACTGCTAGGGACAAGTGCTATCGGTTTTGTCCGATCTGCAATCAGGGTCTCGTGCGGGCCAGAGGTCTCACTCAACACCTGAAAGCTTTTCATGGATGGGCTCTTCCTCTGCTGAACACTGCCCGCAGCCACACCAAGAGCCATCGTAGAGGTCTGGCCCTGTGCTCACCGTGCCGGTACTGCGAGCTTCGCTTCAGGTGCCACCAGACAAAGCATGCCGCAGTCTGTCCCATGATAGTTTTCTCGAAGCTTGCTGTCCTGTTGCACCATCCTCAGGCTCTGCCAGATGGACCTCGAAGGAGTTTCACGAGACGACCTCTTGGAGGCTGCAGCAGAGCTCCAACACCTCCAGACAATGGCGCTTCAGGGGGCCAACTTCGGGGCGTTTCAGCCCACGAGATCTACCAGCTCAGGACTCCCAGCAGCTCCTCCGACCCCGGAGGTTTCACTGACGGCCCTCCCGTCGACCGCCCCCACGACTGCGCGCGAGCACGGCCAGCCCTCGAAGTACACCCGCCCCAACGGGAAGGGGCCAGACCGTGGGAAAGGGCCCAGCGCACGTCCGGCCAAGCTGCAACCCTTTCCTGCAGGAACCTCAGGCAGTCAACCCTCTTCCAAACCGGCCTCAGTGGCGCTTGTCGGCAAAGTAGTACAGCTGGTCCTCCGGCACGAGGACTTCTTGACGGGTCTGGCGCAGAGCACGTCGTGGGTGATGTTCGAAGGCACGGCCCCGCCTCTCAGCACAATTGCAGCGCAGGCCAAAGTGGCCGAGCAATGGCACAATATGAAGGAGGAGTCCCCGCAGTCCATCAAGCTTCCTCTGCGAACAATCCTCTTTCAGACGTGGGCGTCCGAGCTCAAGACCAGGCTAGAGGCTCTCATCACAGACCCAGCCAGCCGTCAGGAGGCGGTTCGTCTCCAGGCCCTGACCGAGCCAGACATCCTCAAGTACAAGCGCTGGAACCCTGCCCTTCGCGCCTTGGAAGATGTGGACACGAAGGCCCCGCTCTCCCTGCGAGAGGTGATTGGACTTCTGGAGGAGGCCATAGTTCTCAGCACAGTGGACGGTGTGCTGGTGAACTACCACTCCACACGGAAGCTACTGCCGGAGATGTCAGGGCCCACAGTGACCTTTGCGCTGGTGCTGGGGCTCAGAGAACCAAAGTCGTTCAGGATGTGGAGCATCATAGACACACTGTCGGGCAATGCAGCGCTGATGTTAGTCGCCACAACTCTCCGCAAAGAGCGCCGCTCTCGGTCCCAGCTGGCCCAGTCAGTCACGCAGGATCTGCGACAGCTGTCACTTGTCTCCAGTTCAGACGTATAGTGCTCCTAAACAGGGATAATGAGTGCTACGCCAACTCCACTCTGTTGGCCTGCGCGTGGACATCTGCCCTTTTTCAGCCATCTCAGGACAGCATGAGGGAGCAGCTTCATGCAGATCTCAGCAACTGTCTCAGCTCGTGCGCTCCGGTTCACATTTGGAGTAGGCCGCTCTGGCGTCGGTGCCTGAGGTTTTGGCCTCACAGTGGGCGTCAACAAGACGCTGCAGATTTCCTCAGCCACCTGTTCCAGGCAGCAGACTTGCGTCATTTTCAAGGAGCCTGGGCAGTTCTTTCAGGGGGCTGCTTGCGGGACTGTGGAAGTGTGTGCCCTGTCACATTAAGCTGCGACGTCCGCAGTCTCCCTGTTGTGAGAGGGATCTACCCACTGCAAGGCGTCATAGATCAGTGGCACAACAGCCCCGCTTGTCCTGCCTTTGCTGCAGGCACAACCTGTGTGGCTCTGCAGCTGAACCGTTTCTGCACTGAGGGACGCGTAGTGAGAAAGATCCACGTGGCAGTGTCGCTTCCCCTTCGTGTTCACCTCCCATGTTGGGTTGAAGGTTCCCTGAGCCGTAGAGAGTACAGACTTAGTGCCGCTATTGTTCACCTTGGTAGCACTCCGCGTAGTGGCCACTACCGGGCGCTCTTGGTAGAAGACTCTGGCCGGATGTGGTGGACAGATGATGGTGATGTTGCCAGGCCCCCCATAGCTAGAGATGCGGATACTTTGCTTAGGAATGCTTACGTTCTGTTCTTCCGTCCGGTACAGTAGCACAGTCTTTTCAGTTTTGGTGCGTTTTCGCCTCTGCAAACAGTTTGGCTTAGTGCATCATGGGCTCTTAGGAGCGACTAAGTAGGACGGGTGACAATAAGTCACGCAGCCCAGCTGCCGCACGAAACCGTGTGCCCTTCGCTAAGCGGACGACCCTCTGCTGCGAGCTGAAGTGAAGTGAAGTGCTCTCCACAGTCACATTGAGCAATGGCCATGACACCTCCTCACAGCAGCTGAGCAACGGGCAGCCGTGCCAAGGGTACTACTTGGGCCCTGTCTTGTTGGGGGGGGGGGGGGGGGGAGGGTGGCATCGTCGCATTTACACCTAACCCGGAAGCCAAGCAGCACATCTGGGGCGGCTCGCAGAATACAAGCTTGTGCTCGGCCTCTCCAACGTAGACCTCCCTTCGGGGAAGCCTGAGAGTCAAAAGCCGATGAAAGATTGAAGAGGCCATCTTCAACCCTCCCCTTCATCAGCATCAGTGTGCTTTGCCATTTTGTTCAGCAAGCCAACCTCTTTTGCTCGAGGGCCTCGAGCATGAACTAAGGGCGTGGAATTTAAATATGGACGTCGTTATAGGCTTCCTGCCCCTCGCCTAGGCGCTGTGCGCACTCCAAATCGCGAACGTCGATCCTCTCCGTTGTTTCTGCGAGCCCCCATGTCGCTCATTGCATGTTGGTTTGGAAAGGATGTGTCTGGATCCTTGTCTTGTGTCATTCCTGCCTTCGTCCTTCCTTTCATTCCTTTCTTTCCTTCCCTTTCCTCTTTCCTTCCTTCCCTCCTTCCTTCCTTTCTGCCTCTCCTGCTTCCTTCCTGCTTATCAAAAACCTTGCTACACAAAATGAAAACAAACCCTCTCAGCAAAAAGCAACTGCAATTCCATGAAGTCAGCCCTTCACGCAGCTCAACTCGTAGCTCCAAGGGTCTGATACTACTCATGGCCCAATCACAAGGCACAACAGTTCAAGTCAAGGTTGCTGGGTCGCTGGGTCACACACAAGGTGCAGGGAGCCCCAAACCGGTCCAACTTCTCAACCAAAGCCAAGCCGAAGCTGTGAAGAATCCTCAGGTGCATCTTGGCAGCTCGCCCTTGAAGAGGAGGCATTGGCCCTGAACGATGTCCGAAGCCTTCACAGCAATTCAGGCAACCCTGGGAAGGGAGCTTTTGACCGAAGCATCCGCCTCGCTGCCCAGCGCTGGCGGGGACAGCCTGGCCACCCAGCGGGGCAGCGCCAAAGGCTCCTCTTTCGGGGGATTCTTGCACTTGTTGACTCTCAATTTTTGGATTTGAAGGCTAAACGGAGGCCGGGGTTCAGGTGGCTAGCAAGCATGGGCTTTTGAACTCAGAATCGCTCAGCTGCCAGCCTCATTGCATGCACAGTGTGTGCTGTAAGAACTCCTTGAACCTCCAAGAAGATTTTTCAACGCCTCAGCCTAAACCTTTCCATCAAGCCGCTTGTGATTCTAAGCCTCTCCATCCCCAATAAAAAAGCACAGACTTTCATCGGACCCTCCGGTCCACGCCTCCACAAAACCTTCACCATGCTTCGCGGCCAGCTGTCCGATGGCGACTGTGCCCTGCTTCGGGCTTGAGCAACTTGAGACCACACAGCTCCCATTGCAGTGCCACGCATCTACCTCTTGTGCGGACTTCAGCACGATTTGGAGACTGCCCGGCATTCCAACGAGCTCCCCTTTAAGAGTTGCATCGCTTTACGTCTCTGGATCTTCTCTTCCCCAAAACCTCAACCAAGCCGAGGTTGCCCGTGCTTTGCGAGACGACCACTCCTCCATCTCCTCACGCATCTCGAAAGTTCGGACTGTGTCATACCATGTCATACCCCTTTTCCGTGTTGCGGGAGGGGCACCTTAGAGCCTTGGACCTAATCCCAAAAGCCACCTAGTCAGCGAAGCACTCCCTTCACGAGCCGTGGCCTCCCTCATCTTTTCGGTCAGCGCCGCTGCTTCGTTTGGCGCCGCTGCGCCGTAGAAAGGCTGATGCCATGGGGTGCCTCACCACCGCTCCCTCCACGCATCACCACTCCACTCTTTTTGCTTCCTCGAAATACTCGAGTTCTAGGGGCGGCCTGACGCACACTTCGAAATCCAAAACTTCCCGAAAGATGCGTTCAGACAACGTGTTGTGCCTCCTGTGGCAAGCGCCCGCAAGGCTGCGGCTAAACGGCTGCCGCGCTCGTCGCTGCCCAGCGCCACAGGCATCCTACAGTGGTTCTTCAGGATATGAACATGTTTGGGTGATTGGGATCCTGGCGGCAGCTTCACCAGGCCGATTTAGTACTGCGCACACCCTCGAACCTGAACCCTACCTGCGCCTCAAACCAAGTACAAACCCTCAACGCTTAACAATCGTACTCTCGTCAGTCTTTTTGCTTTGCCTACTGCTGTCACTATCGCTGCAGGTCGTCTTGCTGTTCTGTTTTGTTTGTTCGTGCTCTTGCTCTTGTATCTGCCACTTGCTGCTGCTACCACCACTACAAAGTGCGATTACCAGGCTTCCTTTTTTCTACCAGCTTCCGCTCCGAGTCGCATGGAGACACGGCAGCCGCTGCAGTGCAGCTGCGCAGCGCACTCCGAAACTTGCGCCAAGAGCCTGCAGGCGGCTTAAAACAACGGCTTTGCGACATGGAAAAGGGATAAGCTGTTTGCATTGCTATACCGTATAAATCGTATTACAGTTTTGGGATGAAAGCCAAGAATAGTTGTTTCGTTGGTGGTTTTCCAAAGACAGGCCCCTTTGAATTCCCAAAGCACGCTTTCACATCTTAGACTTTTTGAAAAACAGCTTCAGCCTTCAGATGTTTCACAACTTCAGACTTTGAATATCGTTGTCTCAGAAATCTCTGCTTAGATTCTCATTTTGCAGGCTTTTGCCTCTGGAATCGTTGAAGGGTCCCGTTCAGGAAGCTTTGCAACTCTAAGGGGAGCTTGTGGAATGTACGGCTGCGCTGAGAGAAACAGATATGAGATTTTCATCGGCGTTCAGCACTTTGAGGCTTCTGATGTAGGACATTTGCTGGCATTCAATACTCTCGGATGAGGTTTCCGGGTCACCGAGAGGAGCAGCGGACAAAAAAGCTCTAAGGAAAAAGACGACCAGGAGTGTTCGCCACAGCGCGCGTACATGATCCTACATACAGAAAAGGTGCAGAATTCAGGATCCGCAGGATGGTCGTCGGGTAATGATGGGGGATGCTAAAGAGGTGCGGCTGGACAGTTTTGAATTTACGGCGTCCGTGGGACATAGCCACAGTGCCTGTTAGCGTCGCCGCTGGCAGCACTGGCAACCTCGAAGTTCGACAGCCTTGCGCAGTTGGCGTGCAGCCGTGTGGGACTTGCGGCTTCAACTCAGGGCATTGAAAGTATGGAAGTTGTTAAAGTTGCAAATTCTCGCAAATCTTGGCGCACTCTGCTGTGTCGACGGATCATCTGCAGTGAGATTTTCTAAGGATGCACCTTGCAAGAGCAACACGCTGAGCCCCACACCCTCAACCCAAAACACTCTGAAAATCCGACCCGAAAACGCGGCCAGATGCGGCCGGGGCAACGCGAAAACGACAAAGGCGGTGTCGGCCGCCACCTTGGCTGATCTCAGGAATGCCATGGGCCGTCTGCAAAGCTTTCGAGCTCGATTCGCTCTGAGGCGGACTTGTCCCAGAATTGTCCCAGTTACATCCTCAGGCGCCCGTGGCATGCCGAGGTCTGCTGAGAGCTTGAACTCGGAGGCAAGGGCCTGAGAGCAAAATTGAAGGTTCCAGACGGTTCCGGGTGGGCATGCAAGCCTCACCATATGCTGTGAATCCTTGAAAACCTGGGGTGAACCTTGCGGTGAAACATGGTGAAACTTTAGCAACAGCAACAACTGCAGCCTGGCGTTTCGATCGTCATGCTCTAGAAATCGCGGCCTGCTCCTCGGCCCACTCCACTCGCAGGAGGGGTCCTGCCTCGAACGATGCACATGCCCCTCCCTACAGCCTGATATTTGTTGATGCTGCATGCCCCTAATAATTGAACCTTGCCGGGAGGTCGGAACTCCATTTCCTTTCCACCCGCCCCGCAGCTTGAACGTCTTACTTAATTCTTGCGCGTGCTGAAGACCCACAAATGACCCAAAGCCCGAGTTGAAACCCAGTAAAAAATGTTTAAACCGCCTCCCCTAGCCTTGGTAATATCACGTTGGGCACTCGGCTCCTTGCTGTCGACCACAGCAACCTTGCTGGACTCCTGCAGTTTTTCGTTGGCCTTCCACTTGACCTGCCCGCTTGAGATGTCTTAGGTTTTGCTTCTTCCTGGTTCTTTCTGACTGCTGGGGGGTATCTAGGGGTTTTGGAAGGTTCGAGGTCAGGGTACTTCGTTAGGGTCTACTGAGTCCACTGCGTTGTGGCCTGCCGTTCTTTGGCCACCCGAGGCAAGCTCGAGCACAGACTTCGAAAGCCAAGGGTCCTTTTGCCCTTTTTGCTCTGCCTTGCGAGGCTACAGCTTGGGGATGTTAAAGGGGGCTTTCAAGGCCTGGAGGGATGCTGGCCCCAGCGAGTCGAAGCTGACCTTTGCGTGAGGGGGTGGCCATGATGCTCCGAGCCCCTTGTGCTCTTTGGATGGGAGGTCGCACAAAAGAAGGCAGGAGACACTCTGGACATTGTCCGGGGATCATCTGAGGTTGCGAGCTGCGGATTTTCTGGGAATACTCTGGGATTCTTCTCCAAGGCGGGATACTACTCCAGGCACTCTCTGAAAATACTCTTAGACTGGGCACTCCAGAAATTCTCCGGCAATACCCAAAAGGGCACTCCAGAAACTCTCTCGATATACTGATCTACTCTAAGATTGGAGACTCTGGAGTTGTGCACTCCAGGGACTCTCTGGGAACTGTCGGAAACATCAGTCGTTTTCCCTGTCCATCTTCGGCTTCAAAAAGAAAGCACGCAGCAACCAGTCAATGTGACCTCCAAAGAACAACAGCTTCAAAATGGAGGGTTCGTGTGGCGTCCCCTCACACCCTGCACTTCACACAATGACCCTAGAGCCGCCTCAAGCCTCACCTCAGCAGCCGTCGTGCGGAGTTCTGCGACCCTCGGCACGCTGGGCTTCCGGCCTCTTGGACCACTGCGCCTCGGCATTTCGAGGGGCCGGGAAGGTTCAGCTCTTGAAGATACTTGACTGGGTTGGCCCCAGACTCCACCAGAATTCAATGGGTGGGAAAGAAACAGAAATCCATCCGCCTTCGCCTGTGACAGTGTCGAGCCCCATGCCAATGCGCAGCCTCCGTGTGAGATGTTTTGGGGATTGTAGTGGGGTCTATTGGGCTTGCGGTTCAGAATAGTTCTGGTCGCAGTGTTGAGGGGAACCACCGCCCCTTCTCAAGCTTTCATGACTTTCATGATCCCTGCACCCATTATATACGATAACTTCGCGATGACTTCGCTGAACGTCGTCGGCGTCTGCACCCATCAGGGGACCCGAGAGAGACTTTGAGACCGATGAGGCAAGTCGCCGGCGCCAAGGGGACCCGGCGGACAGCAGCTCTGCCTCTGTGTCCTTTTTCAGGAGAAACACCTCCCCCTGCATCCCTTAGCCCGATAAGCCATCCTGAACACTTCCACACTGCGGGGGGTTAAGAAAAGAAATGGCCTCTCAGACTGGTCCACTTGGGCTCCTGGGGTTTGAAGAGGTTCCTACTTGGGTTCCTCGGCAAGGGTCGCGTCTGGACTCTTCTGGCAGGGGCCGCCATATGTTTAGGGGATACTGTGGGTTGGGACGGATCGGACTGAGTGCCTCTAAAATGGCGCTATGGCGCTGTGGCTTCACTGTGCTTCCCGGTCCTTGGCAAGCTTGGAGATTATCGCGTCGGAGGCGTGCAGCAGTCCAGCTGCCAAGTTGCCTGATGAAAGCCAAAATGGTGTGTTTCTAAAAGGCCTCCGTGCAACCTCGTCCACCTCGCACGACAACCCCCGAACACGCATGCCGAAACTAGCAACCTCCCGAAACTCAGAACCGCTTGAACACTCAGACCCCAAGCAAAACCCTGACAGATGATGGAAACATTTATCATCTACTCGTGAACGGTAGATAAAAAATCCCCTCAGGTTGTCAGGGGAGGGGCCTAGGGCGCCCATTTTAGAGCTTTTGTTGGCCCCAACTGTGCTCTTTCCCAGGGACTGGGCATAAACCGGGCAAACCATTTTAGACCTTTTGTTGGCTATGGACTGCATCTGCAACATGGCTAAGACAACCCGCAGCCGGGCCCAAAGAGCGCGACACCGACAGGTCTGCAATGGCAAGCCGGGAAGGGTCTAAAATGCCTCTGGACCCATTTCAGACCCCTGGTTCCCTGACACCGAAGGGTCACCATTTAAGACCCCCCGCAAACTGAGGGGATGATAAAAAGCTCTGGAAGCCAATCGAGGAAGTAGGTCTAACTTCCAAAGGAATCGCCTCCGCCCCGGGCCCCTGCTTTCGCCCAGCGGTCCATGAAGCGAGCGGGAAAGGTGTCGGAAGCGGCAAAGGGCAGGCCTTGAGGTGTTTTTTGAAGGGTGCTTCTTCTAAGTTCCCATTTTTGGGGGAGCACCAGGCAAGCTTTTTCCTGCTGTTTCAACGGGGTTTTGATGGAACCTCAGAAAACCCGGAGGTCCTTCCAGGTCCTTTCCCAAAACCCTTTTGTTGGTGTCAGCTTCAGGACTCGGGCCAAGCTCTCGGCTTCACGCACTTCCCCCCATTTCCCCCCGAACGAAGTGCATGGCAAGCTCAATGGCACCTGACTAATCCGAGGGTCCTTGCATGGAATCCTGCTATAACCTACCAAGAACAAGTATGACGAGACGCACAAGCGCGAGTCCACGCCAGAGGAGTTGAACATGACGAGGGACGTCATGCCCTGCGGTCAGGGGCAGGCGTTAGCGTTTTTGAAGACATTCGGCAGACGAAGATGACCCGTACAACTTGACCGCTCGAAGCATCACAAGGCCCCCGAAAGCCATGCGCCTCCATGAAAGTGAAAAAAAAGGCTTTGCCTGCAACTGGCCTGTGAGAGTCTGAACCAGCGTTGGTACCTGGAGGTGGCGGGCTCTCGGCCCTCCAATATGGCTCGGGGATTCAAAGCGATAATGGGCTAGGTTGCGTTGTCGGCCTTTGCGTGGCAATCTCCACACTTTGGGAAAAGGCTTCGAGAGTCTTGGAACTGCAGCGCCAATGCGACGTACAACTTTCGCACGCAATGGCTCCGGGGAAGTGTAGCATGGACGTTATCCGTTGTTCAGATATTCATATCATCGTTCGGATGGGCTGGTGCGTGGATTCTCATCCTTCAGTAGTCTCAGGCCACAAAAACCACCCGGATCACCCTCAGAACGACCAGGCAAACTAGAGACACGCCTCCACCTACATGCACCTCCGCCAATGTTCAAACCTGAAGTTGTCCGAACGGCCTCGGTTTTGAAACTCGAAGTCGCCAGGGCTTCATCCACCAGGAAAAGTACGTGCCTCGTGCATCTTCTGGGGAGCTTGATGCAACAGAACCCGTTCTAAGCGCAGGCTCCAATCCGGAAGCTCCTGCAATCGCTTGGGTGGATTAGGGTTGGCCCGGGGTGCATGAACCTGACTTTCTGCTGCCTCGCGCCGCGTAAACGAAACGCCGGTAAACACTCCCTCCAAACTTCTCTCTGCTCAGCGGCAGGGTGGGCCCGCCGTTCAGCCGACCTCTGGGACAGCATTTGAAGTGACAGCAAGTCTCCATCGCGAAAGTTGAGGGTAGCAATCTTTGGTGCGGCAGTGCCGTACGCGGCAGGCATGGCAGGCACACATGCCCTCAACCCCGAACCAATCCCTGCCCTCCCCAAAAGGTCTAAACCCTGGACTCAAGGCTCGCCCAGGAGCTGTCGGATTCAGATGCTGGTACATGTATGGCCTTAGGAGAGAAGGTGAAGAACTTTCGAGTTAGGATCGATGGTCAGTATGCGAAGCATTGCAAAGAAATGCAAGGTTCAGAATTCTCATGCAGTGCAAGAATAATATCGAGTTCCGGCTGTGCCAGGTTGGCAGTGATTGTGATTCCAAATTAGCTGCCAAGATTTGCGTGCCAGAAGCCCTAATTCACATGACATGGTCTTTGAGAAGCTGTGGGAAGCGAGGGGGTCAGGTCTGCACAACACAAAACCGAAGATCTGGCGGTCAACACGAGTGCTCTGCCGCGGCGCCCACAGCTCGTCCGAAGGCTTCTGGGCCGTCACGACTTTGCAGCAAAGCAGGCTACGGTCTGGAAGCGGATCGGACGGATACCTCTGTAGCACGGGGGGTGCTTTCTTCTGCATTTTCGGCCGACTCCATGCTTGATGCTAGGCTGCTAGGCTTGTTGAAAGTCTTCTGGGGTCTGGGGTCCAAAAAAATCGGGCTTGGGGGCTTGCATGTCAGTAACGTGTTAACGTCACATTACGCGCTGAGTGGCAACGTAAACCTTAATTAAACCTTAAACCCTAGAAAGAGAAAAACAGCAGACCTCAACCCTGGAAACGGATTGGGGGTGGCAAACCCTCAGCCCCAAACGGAAATGTGGGCAGCCCTCAAAACATCACGTACCTTCTCTTTTCGCAAGCCGAGCGCTGGGGCTATACAACCCTTAGAACCTCAATAAAGCATATTTTTCTTAAATATCCTCTTGGGTTTGATGTAAACAAAAATTGAAAATAATTCCCAAGGGGGATATAGGGGATATTTGAATGTATCTCCAAACCATGGTTGGGTAGAGAGAGTTGACTTTGCAGCTTGGTCCAAGCGGATCCAAGCGGCGCGTAGACCCGGGACCCGCAAAGGGTGCGGCGGCGGCGCCCGCCTCACGAGTTTTGCCAGTTCGGTGTTCTGAAAGAAGCAACATACTTGTAATAGTGGAACATGATGGAACATTCTTGACAATGGTGGTTTCTGGAACTAGTACACGATCCCACTCTGTACAAATCATGCCCTCATAGGCAATGCTGTCCTGGCAAATTCTGCATTGGCAGATTCGGTGCCGGTGCCACCAGCGGCTTGAGGGAGCCACCTTGGCCGCAACGTCAATTGCGTCATGCCGCAAGGGGGATAAAACAGCTTCAGCCATGTCAGGTGAAGCAGCACCGTCGTACCCCAATGATTCTCTACTACAACGGCTTCCCATGGCTAGGTTTCAAGAAAAATCCACCAGCACCACTCAGTACTCTTCCAAGGCCACGAAACCAATCGAACACAGCAGGCACTGGGTGCAAAAGGATGGCAGCCGCCCGGCTCCCAACCCCACATGTCAAGCCCAAGAACACTCAACTCAGAGATCTTTCATCCATGCTCTGTACCAGTAACTTTGGCTTTCAACAAGTCCCAGCTGCGAGGACGGAAAGGCAGCAGCAGCAGTGGCAGCAGTTGATCCACGGAGGCCAGAACTAGTTCCTCTGAGACCTCTGAATTAGCGAGCAGCCTTCTGCAGGCTTCAGGGCTTCTTGCTCTAGAGATAGAGATCTACAGCAGCACTCACAAGACTCACAAGTCACAAGACGCGGTGTTGCCTAGCCAAACTCCAACCCTCGTGCTACATCCGTCCGCCTCATGCAGGGTCCACATATAGCTCTTGCGAAACTCTTCAAACATCCAAGCACCCGGCCTTAGTAGCAACGCCGAACAAGCGGCTGTTGTAGGCCTTAGGTCAGGAACCATTTCAATCAGCCGGACACGGAAGTCTACAGAGCCCCCAAAAGGTTTTCTGGTTGGTGCAGCTTGCGCTGGTTGGTGCTTTCTGCATTGGCCGAAGTTCTGCCATGCGTCTTTGCCTGAACGGTTTCTGTAAACCACCACGGCCCCCAACCCAAATGGCCAGAGCACCCCATCATAAAGTGCGGAACTGTCCGGCGCAAAAGCGAGGTCCATAGGGTCGGCTGATGGACGCCTTGAGAGGATTGGGTTTGTGGCATGAAGGACTGCAGTCTGCCCATAGTTTGTGCAGAGTTCTAGCTCGGCATCCTGAAGAGACGGCGTCAGAAGCTTGGACTGCACAATGCAAGGGCTACCAGTATGGGTAGGGACAGTGCCCAGCAGGGGTTAGGCCTGCTGCAGCCGTGGCTTGGGTGCTGGCATGAACTACAACACTACAGGACCTTCTTCTGCCGGGCACGGCCTTACTAATGTACCTCAACACGCCAAACTTCAAATGCCCAAGACCGAAATCCTGAGCTCTACACCTGCAACGTCCCTGCAAAAGCAGAACGGCAAGCGACCTTCCCGTCACACACACCCGGAAACCTAATGAGCTCATCCTAGCGTTCTTAAAGGCGATTGGAAACCCAGACCCCCCATCCAAAACCTCAAGACTTCTCCAAACTTCTCCAAACCCACCAGCAGTCCAGGAGCTTTTCGGAGTCCGCGGCCACCTTAGAGTTTTGATAGTTCAGGCAGGTCAGTGGGGCCAAAAGTGGGAAGTGGTGTGATTCGATGGGGGCCCCAGCTTGCACCAGCCGGAGCTGAACGAATTTACAACTGAGAGCACCCCAAGCTGGCAAAGCAGATGCTCGGGCCTGCCAGGCCCCACGATGGAAGATCCAGCCGCCCTGCCGCTGCCCTTCCTGCGCTTCAGGCTTCTTAAGTGTTGCGCCTTGCCCGCTTAGCAAATTCAGTCGCAGGCCGAACTGGCCGAGCTGGGACCCAGCTGGGAGAATCGTTTCAGTCCATATGGGGAGGCCCCGCCATACAATAGCTTCAATGGCTGATAGCCTCAGTCCCGTTTGGATGCTGGCCTTCGACCTTTCACCGGAAGCCCAGTCGTTGACTTCCGCTGGGCTGCGGAGGCTGGCTGAGGTGCAGTCTATATCCCGTGGCCCGATCCCACTGGATAATGGCGTTTGGCTTGAGCTTCGCTTCCATTCACAAATTTGCGCAGGAAGGTGTTTGAAGGAAAAAATGGCAGTAGTGAGAAAAATGACATCCCCAGAGGCCTACTTGCACCCCCGTGAATGGACAAGTTGGAGAGGTGCAAGCGAAACCTCCCGCCCCCCGAAACAAAGGAAATCGGCAGTGTACTGAACACTGTCTGGGTCAAGTAAACAGCAAACAAGGCAGCAATTTGAAGCAGAAGAGTTCCTAGACAAGCACGCCGTTGTAATGCCGCAGAGTCTCAAACTAGAGCAGTTGTTGTTGCCACCCGCATATCTTTCACAGCCAGCTTCTCAGAACTGAAAATCGTGATAAGTATGCCCAAGCAATTGGGCAAAGAGCACCATTTCACACAGCACTAGTTCAAAACACTCTTAACTCTTGACCAATCTTAGGTTCGAACTTGGCCGCTCCAATTGCTACGCATTTGCCATCGCCTGCAACCTGATAAGTCCCCTCCTTGGGCGCTGGTGGGAAAAACCACTGCTCGATCCTCAGCTGGTTGTACGCCACTTCAATGTGCAGGAAGCTTGCGACATGACTGTTGCGACACGAATCAATCCGACTTGCACCTGCACATTGTCACATGATACGTTAGGCCCAGGACGACGTGCGCCCGGTCGCTTCGACTCTTTGCAGCTGTAGTTATTGAAGCCATGCATCTGCTTTTGCGTGTCTTCGCCTGAGAAGGCAGAATCAGCAGAACATGGCATGAGCAGCATCCCTAAAGCTAAAGGCGCACCTCCTGAAGAACCTTTCTTACCTTGCCTCAAATGAGGGCCACCCCTGTTTGGACCGCACAAAATGTCACAAATCCTTGGCATTCCCAGCGCCAGGTGGCGGCTCCGCTCCCTCCACATGACGCCAGGGGCCACCAGAGCCACCAGGACCAGGCCCACACCATCTTTGTCGTAGACCCCTTAGACAGGGGATCGGATCAAGAGCTTGAAAGTTACACAGAGCTCAACTTGAGATATGGGATTGTAGGGGGGTGTTCTGATTTCATGTCGGCATGTACCCTGGCACTCAAAGAAAGGTGAAGATTGATTCGCATCGCCAGGAGACCTCCGGAACCGTTTAGACGCTTCACGCGTGGTGGCAGGATATGGGAGATGTGTCGTTGAACAGCCTAGCTAGTACCCTCCTCCAAGCCAACCGGAAGAGTCCTGACACCTTACCTTAAAACTCCAACATCCTTAAGTTGGACAGCCACACGCCCTCACTACTAAGCCACAGGTTTACGGCCTAGACTTGGCTCTAGAGAGATACAAACCAGCTGCAAAGCTACACCATTGGGTTTCGGAGCCTCCCGCCTGAGTAACGCGCGGCGGTGTCCAAGCACGGAGAGGTGTAAACCCCCATGCCTCTACTGAGCTCAGGCTTGGGGAGCCCCGGGAACTTTACCCAAACACGTGCCGGCATGGCCATAGACCCTGCGAAACGCCCCCAGTCCAAAACCCCTCAAAAGGTCCAACTCGTCAGGCAGGGCAGGCAAAGCTGTGGGGAGTGCTTTGTGCGTCCATGTTGGCGTGAAACTTGGGGGGCTCAAGAGCACGGGCTTTGCAAGGGTTGACGTGCTTGCTATCCAGTGCTTGCCTTTGACATTGCCGTGGGCCGTGGGGACGAAGTCCGGAGTGCCTTCCTGGGGAGTTGTCACCCTATGCCATGAACCCCCCAAAGCATGGCCACAATAGTCTAGAGAACATCCAGAGTGTGGGGCTGGGGCCTCCATGTTCAGACACAGTGCAAGCCTAGCCACTCCACACTCTTCCTTCACATCACTCCTATAACACAGGAGCGCCAGACCCTGAACTGTAAAACGTGCAGTTGCGAGTCAATCCAATCGCCAGGCATGAGAAAACCACGCCGGCAGATACTTCGCAGCACATCCTTGCAGCCGAGAGCAGCGGAGGGTTCTTCGGAGTGTTCCATGAAAGCAGCTCCTGAAATTCGTAACCCCCCCAATAAACATCTACGGCATGCAAAAATTTGCCTGACTCCTAACTAAGAGGAGCGCCACGTTGACTATGATTACTGCCACAAAGCACAGCCTGCACACTGCTGTGCAAGAAGGCTCTGGCCATGCTTGAAGTTTATTGCCATGTTCTCTCGGTCTTCGATCTTTGCTGTCCTGGCCCGGAGCGCCGTGGAAAGCCTGGCAGCTGACTCTCGGGATAGGGATGCGCATAGGGGCCTGCAGAGCCTGCAGAGCCTGCTGTGGCTGTGAACGGCTGTGAACGGCTCAGGGTGGCTTAGGGCTCATGGGCTCGTGGTCGTGGTCACAATCACATGCTTCAGTCCACTTTTGGGAGTATCTGGCTTAGATGGACTGTCCCCCACGCACTCCTTGTCTTTAGCAAAACTCCGCAACTCCGCCACGAAGGTCCTGAGGAACAACCCCGAATGAATTCCCAGAGAGCCGTGTTTAAGAGCCGACGAAACACCCTGCTGAAATCCAAGGAGCCAGGCTCGGCGTCGTGGGCACTTTGGCTACGGCCCGCTGCAGGGCGAGAGCCGCGGCGAAGCGCTCGGCGAGGCGTTCATGGACGACCTCTTGAAGACCAAAAGCCTAAACTCTGCATCACCTATATCCCAAAAGCATCCCAAAAGCGGTGGTGACATGCCTGAGCGCTCGCCCCCACCGTCGGCAGGTCACGAGACACGAGACACAGTATAACTCATGCCGATGCGTCGGACAGGTAGCGCATGTAGCCGCAGCGACTGCAAAACCGCATCGAATCAAAGCCAACCCAAACAACTCAGAGAGATGAGTAGACAAGCGGCGATCTCCGCTTTGCCGGCAGGCCTGGAGCTGGCAAGTGGTTTTCTAACATCTCGCACGGACGGACGAAATGCCTTCTTCGTGCCATTCCTATGACATGCTATGAAAGCAGCCCGATCGGATGAACATACGGCAAACTGCTTTTTGTTGGCTCTCTGAGGCTAAGGTAGCCTGGGAGAACAGTCCGAGCCGAGAAGACTGAGCCGCAAGTTGTAGGGAGCAAGCAGCTTCACTGCAGCTTCACTGCGTAGACTCTTGATAAACGGACAAGACAGGTGGATCTAACTTGCAGACTGCTGGTGCGGAAGTCCTGGATAAAGGCTTGGTTTAAAGTGCAAACCCCAACCTCCAAACCCGCGACCCGGCACCCCGAACTCTGCTTTCACCTCTGACTGCAAGCCGAGGAGCTCAAAACGCTCATGGCTAGAGAGATACTTGTGGAGCTGTTCTGCCGCATGTTGGGCCTTCACGCGTTAAGCAGAGGTGGAAAAGGGCCATGGCTTCAAGGCTTTAGGTCCGGGCAAGGAGTGTTATCCAAATGTTTTTTGTCTGAAGCTGGCCTTACTGCTGTATGGGTCCTACCTCATGGACAAGAGCAAACAGACTGCCAGCTTAATCGCAAGACCCAAAATAAATTAAAGCATGAAATGTAATGAAGCTTCGGGACAAGCCCCAAGCGCAGACTTGTTCCACTAGTCGAGGTTCTAGGAGTTAGGGTGAACAGTCTTGCTTGAACCTGCTGAGCTTGGGGGGCCTTTACAGTCGGCTTTGGGTTTGCCAAGTGGCCACGTCGCGTGGGTTAAATAACTCCAGGGTCGTGCCAGCTGTCTCCTGACGCAGAGGTGGGTTCATCGGTTTATTGGGTTGTGAGGAGAGTTATGCAGGCTGCCCCAGTCCATATCCACGAACATGCTGTGGCCCTCGGAAATAATCGGCTCGCAATGCGAGCGGTACCATGGAAACCTGAATCTTGACCGCCTACACCCTAGATGCACAAAGTCCCAACTCCCGCTCCGGACGGAGGCCCAGCCACCGTGATGGTGGCGAAGCCAGGAGAAGTGAGTCCAAACTCGGTAGGGGCCTCGGCTTCCGCACAACCTGCTTAAAAGGAAATACCACATCGACGCCCCGCCAACAGGCTCAATGGTCTCGGTCCATTCAATCCAACCTGCAGTATACGCTGTCAGCCAGGGGCTCATCTGCATGCCGCGTGGTCGCGGCCAGCTGCACCGCCTTGACAAACGAAAAGCAAGCCCAAAGGGTTGCCTGGATCCTGCTGGATCCTGGATCTGGTTTGCGTTCGTTACATTTCGTTAGTTGGCGTTCTTCCATTGGGAGAGTCCTTCGCAAGCCAAGCCGGCTTGCAAAATAGAAGGCGTAGCTCCAAAGCCGGTTTGCAAGGCAGGCTCTCACTGACGTGTCTAAGCTGCACGGGACAGCGCTTCACAGCGCCCGAGGCTCATTATGCTCTCTGCTGGAAACCATCTATGTCTTAGTGTGCGTGATCGGCTTCGGGCTTGGGCTCCGTAATCCGTCTCCCGCTCGCTTCCTGCTGGTCTGAGTATACGAGTCTACTAGGGCTTCTCAACTAAATGTCTGAGCAGCCTTCCCAACCCACGCCCGGATCACTGTCAGAAGGCCTCCAGAACGCCCAGTGAACCACGTCGAAACCTCTCAAGAGCTGACTGTGGGCAGGGCCTTTTAATCCAAATGGTGGCTGCTAGGTCGGCGATTCGCGTGCTCCTGTAAAGTTAAAATTGAAAGCTTCCAACTTGGCGAAGTTATGGGATGGGCAGATTTTGGCAAGGGCAACCATCGAACTGCCACGAACTCGATGTGCATCATAAATGCTGCTGCACTGTAGCTGTTCTAAGCTAAAGGTCCCAAGCCGGCCGACACGCAACTGAAGACCTGCCGGCCTCTGCAGGGTCGCAAAGCAGGTGTTTGCAACGGCCTCATCGCCTGCAGGACTCCCCGGCCGATGCTCGACAATCGGCCGTCTACCCTGCACACCCGACACACCCAGCGGCCTGCATGGCCAGGTTTTGGCAATGTTTCCGAGCCCTGTTTCTACTTTGCATCCCGCTCCATGTTCCGAGTTCTCGAAAGTCTCTACCCCAGCCTGTCGTTGCCCCTGATCCCACAGCACGTGCCGTGACTCGGCGAGGATCCTTGGCTCGGCAAACAGGTGTCACAGGCACGCCGAAGAGCCTCATTAGGGCCCGTGGGCATAAGAAACAGATTGTCGAAAGAGCCTGTCAAGTGCTTGGTACGGCATATGCTTCGTTCGGTGGTCAACAGCAGTCAGACAGGTTCTGGTCATGAAGGTTCCCAGGCATCTCAAACACTCGCTGAGGATTCATGTACATCGCCAAGGGGCTGTGCTGTCGAATCGGATGACCACTGACAGGTCCTGGAGGACTCGGGATCATCACCCCCACCCCTCCAGCAAACAACATTTCAGTGTCGGCGGGTGAGACACTGTGATGCTTCGGAGGTCAGAAGCCCTAGGCTCTCAACTCAAGACTCTCGCACACATCAGCCAGTATCCCAACTTCTTTGACCTTTGCCCCACATGTACGAATCCACCTATTCACTTTAACAAGAGGCTGCGCTTTTGAAACGAGTTGGATTGCGATATTCCTATGCGCACTGTCATCCTGGACATCCAGGGAGCTAGGCATGAAGCAGCTGAATTTGGAGACTCTATAGCCACGTGGCCCTGAACCCACAGCAATAGACGGCCCCGGCCCTGACGCAAACTGCTGCGGAGCAGAGCACTTGGGATCAGATGGGCTCCTGCACGGTTATCTCCGTGCGGTCTGCATGTTCCTGCACGGACTCCTGCAGGGGTTTTATGAGCAGGAGCATCATGGCTAGGCGCTTCACAATGCACAAATCACAGCGCTGCTGAATGCTGCGAATCTGTGCAGTTCTCTTGCAAAGCCTGATCATGGCACGTTGCTGAAATAGAGCACCGGCCAGGAGGCCAACGACTATTGTTCTGTGTCCAGCACAGCGGTTTTCCACGAAGGCCCTGCATGAAGGCCTTTAAGTAGGTCCAGCACATGCAAGCTGCAACCACGCAGTGCCGGTGCAAGTAGTGGTGCGAAGTACAGGCCGCCACATGTAGAGTGGTGATTTTGAAGGTTCAATCTTGATTGTGCCGGCGAACCCGCATATGTTATTCGCGACTGCTTTGCGTTATCTGGTTGGTTTGTATTGTAAGCCCTGCCCTAGGCTCGTGCCGCAAACCTGGTTTCCCGGCAGTCAGAGGGCTCGAAGGATTTTTGGGCGCATATCGGGATTGTCAGGCACCACCTCACCCAGTCATCCACCTAGCACGCAAAGCTGTGCAAGGCTGATCAGTTGAGCAATCGGCTTCACAAATGTAATTTGTAAGGTTGTTGCAATCCGAAGTCCTTGCCGTACAGCGCCTCGATGGCATCCAGGTCAGCAACTACGTTCGGGTCCTGTCGGCCTTTGCTCAGCCACAGGGATTATGGCTAAGGCTGCAGCTGGTTGTGTTCAAGCATTTGGGTAGCTACATCGGGAAGTTCCGTGGAGAGGCCCGTCGTTGCTTTGGGCATGCTGTAAAAACGTCTTTCACGAGTCCACTCGAAGCTGTGGATCGCTCCGGAGCTCGTTGCGGACAGAGCGCCCATTGGCGGCCACTGGGATGGCGCCGTCTGCACGAGGGGCGGCGGCAACTCCCTGTGATGGACATCGCGGTTGGGGCTACGAACGGACATTCTAGGCTTAAGACTTGGGCCTGTGACGGCCTGTGTCCTATGTTCATCGAAACGAAACTCATCCATTATCGTCTAAGTCATCCACGTGTGCCAGCTGCCCTGCATTCACCCGGTCCACGCTTTCCGGCAATCCCGAACAACCACGGTTGCCACAGACACCAGAAATCCTATCCTGGATCCCTACGGAGGCCTAACAGCAAACTCTTTGCAGCTGCCAAGCAAGTGGGTTTTTTTTTTAGATTAGGAGCCCTTACTGCAATGCAAACCTAATCGCGAATACGCTCCGCCGGAGGATCCGCAACAAAAGGGACCCTGCTGTAGAACAACCCACGGGATGGCTTGTGCCGGGGCACATCAGGCGATCGAGCACCGCCACCTCAGAGGCTGAGCAGCCGTAAAACTGTAGAAACGAAAAACCTTCTTTCTTGCTACTGGAAGAAGAGAGCGACGACCGAGACTAAGAGACCCCGAGGCCTGCCCACGCCCACGCCCAGGCCTCCGAAGCCAAGGATCCCCGGCCGCAGAAAGTGTCTCTGAACTCCACAAGTGCTTTGTATGTTCACGATTGTTCACGCCGTGGCACCTGAGCTTCGCAGAATGCCCCGCCTCGGCGGTTGGTGTCGTTGGTGTTGTGTCATGGAGGTTTGGTTTAGTGTCCTGGTCTATTCAGCAGATGGCTATCTCTGTGAGCAGAATCTCTACGTATGACTCTCTAAGTATTTTGTACGTACGGTCTCTGTAGCAACTCGTCAAGTGGTTCGTCATACTGTAGTCGATAAGCGCCTAAAGAGAAAGCTCAACGGTCGAGGGTTTTGTTTCCCAACTTTCTTGGGCTTCCCACGTGCAAGAACTGCTTGCGAGTTGCCGGGTGTGCGACCGCGGCTTTGCGAAAGCATCAGGGACCGGATCCTCCGCATGCTCTATGCGCAAGCTATGGATTTCGGGCTGTGGCTTCGGGCTTTCAGGGGATGCTTGACCGCGAACTACAAACCCCTGAAAAGACTCATTAGCTGCTTGCGCAAAAGAAAAATGCCGCAGTCTGCTCCGGCATTCGAATGCTGCTCTGGCGCTTTTGCTACCACTCGGTTTATTCATGCTCTGTCGTGGCTGCGAGGACATGCAGTGCGGTGGCAAGCCTGGGACAGAGGCACTGGCGACCAGCACGATGACACTGAACCATCACAGACTCTGATGGCGGTCAGGTTGCGTGGCGAGCCATGGTTGGGTGCTGCCAGAGTCGGCCGAGAAGGTGTCCTACAGCGGAGGAAGGCAACGGGAAACCGGAAGTCTGGATCGGAGCATTTAGTTTAAGCAAGGCCTGGACCTCCGTAGGCCAAGGGTACGCAGTAAGCTCTCCATGCTCCTTGAAAGAGCTATTTTATGGAGTCCTACACGGGACAATATCCTTTCGGCTTGAATGTTCGAATGCAGGAGCATCCAGAGGTCGAGCGGGCACCTTTCTGCCCGAGTCGGATTTCTGCTCCATTGTCATAGATCGACATCCAACCGCCAAACCCCATTCCACACCCACGCCACCTATTTTTCCATGTGCCCTCAACCCTCTGACCCTGAAGCAAGTCGGGATGCCAAAGACACGTCGGAGATGAGCTCCCACTCCCCGTCTTCCTGATGACGTTTGACTTCCAGCGTTTGAGGACCAGGCAACTGCAGCATTGAGCTTTTCAGGGGTGTTTCTATGTATTTCTTGCCTGGGGGTGTTGGGCTGGGCTCGAATAAGGATTGGTTTGGGTGGGGCTTGCCGGTTTGCCGGGGTTTCCACACAAGCTGCAGCATATGCAATTGAAGTCGTACCAGCAGCTGCTTCACTGCTGCGAAGCCCGAAATCCTAGGCAGACAGTACTCCGCAGCCTGACCATGGAAACCCTTCGACACAACTTGGTCGCGCCTCCAGCGGCTCCTGCCCCAACCCGCAGAGGGCCACAAGAAGTCGGGGGGGCAAAGTGAGTCTAGACCGTGGTAGATATTCGTGTCAGAGTTGAGTGATGCCCGAGACTGAAGCCATCGCTCACTTTCTCCAGCCCCTCCCTCCTCATGGAGTAAGCTCCTAGGATCATGTGATCTGTCAGAGATTGGTTGCGCGATATGGTGGTGCAATCGATTCCAGCACTTGCGAGCTTGTGACCCCTTGTGACTTGTGGTGCTTCTAGGGATTCCAGGGTGCGCCTGGAATGCTGCGGGGGCACTTTCTGCCCCAGTTAACTATAGTTAACTGTTTTCTACCTCCCCCAAGCCCCTCAAGAATGCCCTGACAAGCCGACGTCCCACATCGATGAACCACAACACCCCACCCAAAGGGGCCTCCAACACTGCGGATGCAAAATCACGCAAGGCGGCCGCCTTCCTAGCCCCCAGCCTGCACAGGATGTTGATGATGGCTGCTGTGCAGGAAGGTTTTGGAACTTGTGGAGTTTTTCGCGTGAGCTTTTGGGATTTTCGACCCAAGTAGACCTGTCTGCATCTGCCAGCAGCAGCTCTGCCAGCCTTGGTTGGGAGAGTTCTTGGGGTCTTCTTCCTGTGCTCTGCGGCCGGGTTTAGGGCATATAGGGGCCCTTAGAGACGTTTGTGGATGCGAAACCGGCGAAACCCTGACCCATACGCGTGCCAAACACACACGCGCCCAATTCATGGTGGCTCCTTGGCCCGGGCCTGCAAACATTCATGCAACATGACTTATCAAGCTTCACGGCCGTAAATATCAGCGAACATCAGTACAAACTTTGCTTGCTCCGAAAGCCTGCCCGTGTTTGCGAAAACACGCAGGGACAGGTACAGGCCACCTTGTGGCTCGCGGCCACGACATTTACGTGCGTGAACTGGCGCACAAGCATTGTGCAATCATTCGATGGCGACGCATGGGTAACTTTGGAGAACGGCCACAGAGGTCGAACAAAACACCTTGTGACACGGTTCTGTAATGCAAAGAAACACTCCCTGTTGCGCAAGAAAGTCGACGACGTTGATTCGAAGCCCATCGGTTGCATAAAGGCACACGCAGTCACGCAGCCCTTCAACCTCAAAAAAGCCCCTCAATCTCGTTTTTCGTCCAAGGTACTGCTGCGAGACTTCACCACGGCCCCGGAGCACCCGCAGGGCTGTGACAAAGGCAGAGAAAGCCATGGCCCCAGGTTTTAGGGAGAAGGGGACGAACCCTTAAGAGGCTCCTACCTCTTACGAATTCCTTAACCGTGCTAAAGCCCCCCTGCAGAAGTTGAAACGGCTTCGGAGGCTCTCTGTGAGGCGCTCTGTCAAAGCATTTCTGAAAAATGTTTATAGGATCGGTTCTGGGATAAATGTGACCGGGTAGTGGGCCATAGGGCTCCCATTTTAGTTCGACGTCGGGCCGAAGCGCAGCCCTCCGGCCCTGCAGACACCTGCGCCCCGCGACTCGGAGCGATTTGCAGAAATTTAGGATGCAAGGTGCTTTCGTTGAGACGCCGGGTTTGCATGTATTTCCGCAGTGCAATGAACCATCATGAGAGACATCATGAGCCGGAGTTCGGGTTTCAGGTTTACAGGCGCCTCGGTTGCCTCGGTTGTGAGGTGTTGTATGACATGTTGTAGCATGTTGTGGGCTTATCTTGAGAGCCTCCCGGGGATTCTAACTCAAGGTCCGTTCGGCACAACTGGCTTTGCTTCTCGTGGGTCATCAGAGGTGGCAGCGGGCAGTACCAGGAGAAGGCGGGTGAAAGATTTCATACGAAGCATCGGAAGCTGCAGCTGTATGACAGTCTGCAAACATCCGCGCTCGAGTCCGAGGGCTTCGATTGCGGGCTTAGATTGTGGTTGTTAGATTTTGGGGTTTCTGACGCTGGCCGTCGGGTTTACTGAGTTTGCTTTTCGCAACTGGTGATGCTGTCCGAGGGCTTAGGAACTTGGGGCTTGGGGGTCACGGAAGCATTTGCCTGGGACTCAGAGTCAAAGGCTGTATCAGGCTGAGGCAGCCAATCTGCTCTCTCCTCTTGAGATTTGCGGAAACCGGCGAAAAGATGCGAAAAGATTGATGACAACTGTTGGAGCCCGTCAACATTTGTCGTCCCCTACTCATCACATGTGGCTAGAGGCTAGGCTACCATTTGGTGCGACTGTGGAGACATAACTGTCTCGGGCTCCAGGTGCGACGACAGGGTGCGACACGCACTGTCCGGCACCCCTCTACATTCAAAGGTGGCATTCATGAGCGGGTGGAACTCAAGCCCGCAGAAGAAGCAGTAGGCTCCAAATCCACTGACTTCATCTGACTCTACGAGCATGTGGCCGCAACCAACACGTTGCTAGCCTTCACCTCAGCATCTCAAATCCTCAAGGTGAGGCTGAAACATGCCCAACTCCCAAATATGTCTCTATGGTCCAAACCCGATGCATCGAGCCGCGAACAGGAGCAGCCACCCGCTGCAGCTCAAATGCTCTTACACAAACGGAAGGAGAAGGCCAGGAGGTCCCTGCTTGCTTTCTGCTGGTTCTTTGGGGGGGGGTGGGATTCGGTGGGATGCGGGGCTCGTGGGAACTCCTGGCGTCTCCGTGCAAGCCCCACTTCTGACTCAACTTCAAGGCGGCAGGGTTCAGGACTCAAAAAGCTATCGATTGTCAGTTCGGCTCCCGCCAAAGGTTGAGCCAGCGTGGACGTTGTGAGAGCTTGAACGGGAATTTCCCTATTTAACAGGGTGCGCTGAGGGTTTCTGCGGTGCGCTGCAAGTTACAAGATTGTCACATGTCTCTATTCAAATGAAAGGGTGGAGGGGGGAAACTGAAGTGGAACAAGCGGGCACGCGATCAATTTTTACAGCGCGCGCTGGCAGCAAGTCCTTGTAGGCTTAAGTGCCGGCTTCGGTGCCTAAACAGCTAACCAATGTTGAGCTCGCATGTCCTGAACGCCGGGAGTCTCTCTGACTGCATAGCACAAAAGCAAAGGATGGTAGCATCCGAGTGCAGAGGAGAATTTGCCCTCCCTACTTTATAGGGTTTAGGCCTTTAGGGACATCGGAACTGAGACAGGAGCCCCTAAGCTCACACGAACGAAGTGGGGGTTACGTAGTACCACTACTACGAGCTTGCTCAAGCCTCGATAGCCACCTGTCCTCCCACCGCCCTTGAAAACAAGAAGGGGAATGTTGCATTCGGAAGACTTACAGCATCTTGAAATGGCCCAGTTCTGTTTAGTTACCGGTTGTCCCGTGAGCCATTTCTCCAACCTGGACCCCTGAAGTCCCTGAAGGCTGAAGGCTGCCAAGCTGCACGTGCGCGCGCGCGTCTACAGACCCTAAGGGGCCCCAGGGATTCCCAGCCACTGAGCGGCAGCCGAGGCTTGAGGTGTTTGGGTATGCTTAGGGTTTCAACACTGCAACTAAGGCAGGGTTCCCATGCGCGTACCACATCCTGGACAACCTTAATCTGTCCCAACAGAGTGACACCTGGAAGCCCTGTAGCCGAGTTGTAGCACGCCGTGTGGTTCTCTTGAGGGCCACCAAACACAGTAGCAGGGATTCCCATAAGCGACTTTTCGGGCACTTGCTGGCCGCGAGAGCTCTCTGCTTATTTTTCAATCAGGCTCTTGAGCCGATCTCGCAGGGCGTCCCAGAGGTCACAGCTTTCGAAGGCTTGCTTGGCTCAGTGTGAAGCCCAGGCTTTCTGAGTTCGGCTTTATGTCACATTTGTTGCTCGGACAGGAAGGTCCCAGGATTGACGGCTCAAGACTGCCTGCAGTCTGCAGCACGAGATGGCATGCCTTCCAAGCCGCGTGGGCTCTTAGCTAACCTCTAGTACCCTAAAAATAGCCGACCAACACATGGCGGCATGCATCACAAGAATGAGCCCCCTCGCGGCTTGCAGCTCGATCGCTGCTTGCAGGCCACAGTCATTTCCTGCTATCCCACGCCGTCAGGGCTTTGAGAAAGCGATGGTAAAGCTTGCCTTGGAACACAGCTTGCATGGGTGACTTTAGCCATCTGCCTTCGACTCTGACGCGAAGTTTCATGCCGCCAATCCTCGCACCCTGGCAAGTCCACACCAAGCGTCAATATAAATACCCTGGCAGGCTTGTTGCACGCATGTCTTACGGGCCAAGACGCAAGCTAAAATCCTCTGACCCGAAGCCCAAAGAAATCAAAACAGACCCTGAAACAACCCGGCAAGAACGTCATTCTTAAGACCTATTTGGTCTAACCCCAAGCGACCCTGCTGCCCCCCCCTCCCCCACCAAGCACGTCAACCCCTGGATTCGAGCAGCAAAGGTGGGATTGGGGATCCTTCAGCTGTCGCACGATTTCTTCGCCTGGCTTCAGTGGAGTGGAGCTGCTAAGGTCTTTCATGTGGATTGGCTTGGATATTCGCTTTGCTGTCTTTTCGGGAGACTTGAGGATCTTGAGATAGGGCTGCAAGGATTTCAATGCCGAAGGTTTGTTAGCAGGAGCGGGATGGGGGGTTTAGGGTGCACCATCTCAGCGGCTTGCATTTTCGAAAGTATGGGGCATTTCGCAATTTGGCTCTGGCTTTTCCGGTGTCACAAGAAGCTAAGGTAATCGTGCCCTGAAGGCTGCCCAAGCTTTCATGCAGAATCACAAGACATGCACCACGCCCACCCACTGCACTGCTGCCAGAGTCACGTGGATATCCCAGCCGCTCGAGCTTGCTGATGGCCTGACGTATAGGAAATGACTTGTTGTGGCACTTGCTTGCCCAGATGATGTGCTATGCAGGGAACGATGGCTTGCGCCGCAGCACCAGGCAAACCCATTTTGTTTCAAGCACATATCTGCTCGCTCCTGGCCTCAGGTTCATTGGACCACCCCCCTTCAACCCTGCCCCCCAAAGCCTATAAAAGATCCTGAGCACCCAAGGAAACGACAATCCCGCAAAAGGCCCCCCAGATCTGCTGCCTCCTCTTCAACGCGACGGTTGTACCGCTCCTCCGAGATCATTCCCTCCGAGGCCTGCAGCCAAGCAGTTTCGGGTTTCGGGTTCTTGCCACCTACCTAGCAGCCTCGCAACCACACTGCAGGCATGCAAAACGTCCAGGCTGAGGGTTTTTGCTTGGGGGTTTTTAAGATTTAGCGTTAAGGAAACAGCTGGAGGATCTGAAGATGTTCGTAGGGGTCACAGGTGCGAGCTTCTAAGTTGCTTTTGCCAGCCCGGTCAGGGATCATCAGCGTTCTTCGGAGAGTCGAGGTTGTCTAGGGATCTCGGGCCGTACAAGTGGTCAGGCACGGCAGATTTTGAAGGCAGGAAGCCGCTCCAACAGCTGTTTCTGCCATTCTGCGTGACTCTGAAAGGCCTTCACAGGATCGTCGCAGTTTGCGGCTGACATAGTCTGACGTTGTGGCTCCCGCCAGCGCGAGGGTTGTTGCATTCGAGCCACTCCATGGTGTCAAGCCAGCACAGCACTTGAGGTTTCCCTTGAGTGCCTGCAGCTGTGAGCAGCGGCTAGAGTCAAAGCACTTTTCAACGACTTTGGATGGGCTGTCGCCATACTGTCGTCATACTTCAAGTCGCGACCATCGCCGCCCCAGTCATCCCAGCGCAAGGGCGCAAGTCGCGCGAAACCACGGTGGCAAGGCCTTTCAAGCCGGCCAGCCGAATCACACCAGCCATCGTCACTGGGCCAAGAGAATGGATTTGGAAAACTGGATGTCGACATCGCGGAGCTCTTTCAAGGCTACGTACTTACGGGGCGCTTTTTGGGTGACATTCGGGACCATTCTCACTGGAAGCTCTTCAACACAGCCTACATCGGGGTGTACCGGAGAGGGGCTTAGGGTGTCGCATGTCGTCCCTTATCCCTGCATCCCATAGATTCCCATCGATCCGATAGATCCAGGGTGGAAAGCGGCATCCCAACATCGTCTGGCCTGTGAACCTGCCGTGGCCACCCTCGTCACAGATGGTTCCATAGCCTGGCAAGCTCCACGGCGCAACAAGCAGGCGAGAAGCAGCTGTCCGGAACACTGGCTCACTTCTCAAAGATGCTTCCCCATCCCCTGTCCCCCCCCCCCCCCCTAGCCATCCCAAAGGAAGTTGCCTTGGCGGTCTCCACCTCGCTTCGGTGTGCCGGCTGCGGCGTAGCAGAACCTCCCGTGGTGGCAGACCTCGGGCAGCTATCAGTGTGATTAGAAGGTCACCTTCGGGAATATCTCGGGATGCTTCCATTGGCTCTCAGGGTGCAGCGCACAGGACAAAGAAACAAGCAAGCAGGCGCTGAGATTCGGGTGGGTTGGTCCGGGCTGTCGGGATTCGGGCCATGCCGACTCTTCGGGGATCAGGGGCTTGTCTGCTTTGCCCGGGTTTGGAGGTTACGCTTTAGCTTTGGAAGCCTGCGGCACCTCATAGAAGACAATATATATATATATATACATACATATATATATATATATTAATTATATGAGATTGAGAGGTTATACAAGGGTACAATACTAGAGTCAGGGTGCGTCTGGGGAGAGCCCACTGGACGTTTGTGCCTTGGAGGTGCCGACGCCCTGAATCCGAAGCCCGAACTTCACACTCACCTCGCCACACTCGATATCGACCGAACGGAAAGGGTCCTTCATGACCCGCCCGACTCCCCTGCGGAATGCTTCGAACCAGCTTCTCCGATATTTGTAAACCCCAGGCGCTTCTCCTCGTGCTCCCCGGGTCCTGTCAGGAGCGGCGGAGCAGGAGGCGCACAGGCATAGCCTTGGATGCTTGCAGCCACTTGCAGCCACTTGCAGCTCAATCTTTGTGTGGTTTGGAATGGTTTGGATGTTGTTGGAATTTTGGAGGCATCAGGGGCTCGAGGCTGGGAGTTGGGCCATGTGTCGCAGTCTGACGATCACTTGTTTGCACGCATTGCAAAGCACGAAAGACGGCACCCGCGGCACCCACTGCCGGGTGGCGGGAGCGCGGCGAGTCACCGGAGCTCTCCCGTGCACTCTGACCAGTGCTCGAAGGTGCCTCACAAACCAAGATAACTTCCAACAACTTGCAGCGTGACTAGAGGGGAAAGCTATCTCGGTTTGCTGTAGTTTGAGGGACCCTAAGATGTGCGGTGTACAGACTCCAGATTGCCACAAGTTGAGTTCGACGCTATTCTCATGGCGCCTTCTGTTCAGGATCCCCATTGGTGTGTTGCCTCCACAGCTTGTGGGGTGGGGGTACGATGCAAGAGAGGTTCCAGTAACATCTGAGACCTCTTGTGCCATAGCCCTGACCGCGACCAGGTCTTCAAACTGAACACTTCCGACGCACCATCGCGACTTGAATCGGCTATGGTGTTAAACCAACACTCATTTTCTTTGCAATGTTTGACTGTATCGCTTCCTGAAAGGTTTCAAACTCGGGGTCTAAAGGTGCTTGAATGTAGATATTCTACAGACTTACATTAGCGGTATTTGTTGGCTTCTCCCGTTCTGGTTTAAAATCTGTATCACCATCTGATCATTTCTAACACTGGGCCTGTGTTGAAGGTATGTTAGATGTGGTTTTGGTTTCTTTCTCCTGTGCAAAACTTCGTTTCCCACCAAGTCCTCTATGTATCTCGCGGATACTACATTTGCGCTTTTAGGTCCTTTCCAGAAATAAGTTAAAGGCCGGCCTTTGGCATCTTTGAGAGACGTTTTCATGGCACTGTCTTTGTTACTTTAACATCTATTGAATAAATATTTGTGCCCGTTGTTGGTCTCTTTTTGCTTTCCTCCTTGCCCTCTGCATTCGTTGCCCCGATGGTTCTTTGTCGTGGTGTTTTGTCGTGGGTTTGTCGTATGCGTTTTTTTGCCTTCGTCTTTTGTTTGTCGGTTTCAGCGGTTATAAGCTGTCTGATTAACGTATCTGCGCGGTGGTGTATCGCGCTATGTTACGGTCTGCATAGCTATTTTGGTTCTGGTGCTTTGTGTTAAACGATTTGTGTAGCTGTAGTAGGTTGCTTGTAGCGCTGTGTTACGCTTATCTTTTTTTTTGCTTATATACAGTGTAATTGCAATACAAATTGAACTATTTTGGAAATATTTTTTCTTACAGAAAAATATGAATATATGTTTTAGCAATATGAAAGAATTAAAGTCCCGAGGATATGACAATGGACGAGATTAAGCAACAACTGGCTTATCAACGACTTTACATTGACAAAAACAAAAGGAAAGAAGACAGACAGTTCATGCAAAAGAAGCACGAGGCAAGTTTAAGGCACAACCAACAGAAGAGACTTAAAGAGAATAAATTGGTGAAGAAGATTTGGCCCTTACGCAGATTACCGAAATCATTGCTGATAAGCAGCCTAGCGGAAAGAAGCGTGGAGCACCTAAATACGATGTGAATGAACCAAAGTAATTATGCCAAATGCGGTTGAAAATGATGATTTAGATACTTGCATCAAATAATTTTTGTGGTTACTTATTTACTATATGAGCGAGGAACAGAAAATCACTACTGATGTGTTTTTTGATAAGGCCGGTTTCGGCAGCAGATCCAGAACACTGGCGGAAGCACGAAGAAAGACAAAACTATCACAACGGGAGATATTAACGACCTTGTTAGTTTTAGAAAGAATGTTGAACAAAAAAGAAAGCAGCTGGGACAAGACAGTTTTATCGCTCCTCATTCCGCTTATGAATATCAGATGGACTTGTTTTTTCTACACGATTTGAAAGAGCAAAAGTTTAAGGTAGGGGTGTTGATGATTGATGTATTTGATACATTTATGCATGTAGCACCGATACAAAAGCAAACAAGAAGGAGATGTAGCAAGTGGAATGATTAATTTTTCAATAAGATGGGTAAGAAGCCCGACGTAGTTTACCCAGATGATGAGACCACACTTTCAACCGAGGCAATACAACAAAAGCATTTGAAGGAGGGGTGGTGCATGGTCTCCACTAACTGAATGTTTGGTCTGATCGCCAGACGGCCAAGCATCTTTGTGAGAGTCGGCAGCAATGTGCCGGCAACTTTAGCGGACTTTAGCATTTGGGGGGGGCTTACGAAGATACGGGACCCCTAATAGAGCCCTAAATAGTAAACCCCCGTTTAGGGTCCGAACCTACCTACCGACAAATGCCAGGTACCGTTGTCGTGAACGTCGAGCTGGTCGAGCTATTGGGCTGGTAGCTGGTGCTACCTTTGCCTTGGTACATGGGTGCATTCCAAGCTCTGAAGCTGGAAGCGGCAAAAAGCCCCCAAGTGCCCGTACCGCCGCGAAAACCCATCGGGTCTCAATCCTGCATCCCCTGAAAATCCTCAACGTGCCTAAGTCCTGTCCGAACCCTGAACCCAAACCTACAATGGATTGGCAGGGTGCTGGCGTGCGAGTCCTCCCGATGGGCGGACAACCACTGGTCTGACAACAGGTCCTTGGGAGCAAGGCATACTCTACAGGGGGCTTTTTTGATGCGCATTTTGTTCTTTATGCAACATTTCGGACAGCCCTTTCTGTTGCCCCTCAAAACCCTCGAAGTCCACGAGCCGCGGTCTCGCCCATATGATCCAAGTAGCGCAACACAACCTTCACAAGCCTCTGAAGCTCCCTCCCCTAACAGCCGCCGTTTTCAAATTGGGTTCGTTACAACTCACAAAAAGCAATCGTGCGCGCAGTCGCCATAAACAATCTCGTACCCTGCAGAGAGAAGATGATCTGCGCACCTCCACAGTGGGCCGTCGGGACATATCGGCCGTTAGCGCACGCTGCACCATGGCCTCTTCGGGCTTGGGCGTGCTTTTGGTTTTTTTCCTCGGGGTTTGGGGGTTCGGAAGTCCGCACGACAGCTAGATACAGACTGCGGAAACCTACTGCCGGGCCTTCGACTTTCGGGAGCCTGGATTAGCCTGGGTCTGATGCTCTGATCTTCTTTCGGGCAACCCGTTTCAATAGCTCAGCCGGGTCACCTTGGCACCATCACCAACGAATTCCTGAACATCGAGCTTTCGCGCAAAACACATTCATGCGTTTAGAGACTCTGGATTCCAGTGGCACGCGGGTGATGTGGAGTACAGGGGTCAGGGTCTAAGCCGTTCTTTGGAGGGGAGGGCCACACCCACAAGCACAAAGACTCTGGACGTCAAGCATATTTCCTAAGCAGACGGGACAAACAATCGGAAGTATCATAAGCCGAACAAGCAAACAACCCCCCCATGAAACCTAACCGGATCTCATCTACATTACCCGGAAGCGCCCAACACATGCAAAATGAAAGTGCACTTGCACCCATTCTGGCCAAGAGTCTGGGATGTGAAACACTCCTCGTACGATTTTCCGGTAGAGGTCGCCTGAAGCATGTGGCTCTGAGGAACTTTCGGGCTTCATCTTCCGTCCACGACGGCTTAGCTTGAACCCCGAAAGTCCCAAAGCGGGATGCGGTGAGGAAGTCTGTAGTAAACAACCCCAAAGGCGCGTAACGGACCGGTTTCTTTCCGGCAGAGCCCTCCAGCCTAGACAGAATTGTGGAACTCGACAAGAGAACCCCTAAGTCTCTAAGTCTTGGCGTGCCGAGCCACGGTCATTTTGCCCACGGAAGGGGAAGCTGCCACAAAGCAGGGCGTAGAGCAGAACGCCCATGGCCCAAATATCTGCACAAAAGCCTTTGGAAGGTGCGGGCTCGAGGCAAGCCCTACTACTGTCTTCTTTGCACGGGCGACAAAATCATGTGCTGGAGGTGCAGAAATACAAACAAGGGTTAAGGATTTGTGTTTGGACCTCTGCAACCTCACTTTTCCTCTGATTGTTGGCAGCTAAACATCTGCCATCGAACACATCACCCTTCGTCATCTTGCAAGACGAACATCTGTTGACACTGCAATTCCCTGGATTTTTTTGAAGTTCCAACCTCAAACATCCCAAGTGGAAACAACGACACCCATCAGTGCTGCAAAGAGAGGCCTGTGTACTCCTTCCTGGCCACAATCTCTGGGGCCTTGCTTGAGCTTGGGATTTATGGTTGAGGGCCGACTGCTTCAGACAGTGCCCCCCCCCCCCCCAGAGGTCGTCAGAGGCACGGTATGCACGAGCAAATTCAACAATGGCGGCAATTGGCGACACCCAGCCCCAACCCGCCACCGAAGAAGGCCGTATCAAGACTCAGCCAAGGCAAGGCACCATGTAAGAAGGAGTTCCACAGAAGACTTTCAGCTTCTTCCCTGGAGGGACAATGGTTGAAAAGCCGAAGTCGATGATCTTCACCTGGTTGGCGCTTTGATGTCTACAAGTCTAGCCCCAAGCTTAGGCTGCGAGCAGCTACATGGAGAATCTGCTTGTTTGTTCTCCATGGCGAAGGGTTTGCCGGACGACTTGAGGATCGCACCAGCACAGCAGATTCCGACCGTAAACCTCTACGATCCTCTACGATCCTCTACGATCCTCTAGGATCCTCTAGGATCCTCTAGGATCCTCTAGGATCCTCTAGGACGGCTGCAGCCCGCGTGGCCGATCCCTGCTCGTCCAGGAGCAAGTTCTCCAACTTCCTCGAGAACTATTTCAGGGGCTCATGTGGGTGGAAGTGCGGGAAAGCCTCACGGGGCGCATTGCGCGTAGTGCTTCTACTGGCCTGCCTCTGGCCATGGACTACGGCCTCACCAACAACCATCTTTGCATTAGTTGCTTCATTCTGCGAAATGTCTGGACCTTCTGGCCAAGCAAGACCCTGACGCGGCTCGCACGATGCATTTTTGCTGAGTTTTTATAAGCTCTGAAAACACGCCAGCTAGACCAAACTAGTCCATAACCTCTGAAAACAAACCAGCATATCGACCTTTCGCATGCCCGTGCCGGGCGGCACATCACGGTGGACGATGTGTCGATCATGAAGGTATTTGATGCCCTGACAGACCTGCTGCAAGAAGCGCACACCACTAGCTGTAGGCCTATCTCTAAATTGTTGCGATGGCTCCATATGTTACTCATGGCTGCAGCTACAGACTCGTTTCGTACCTGTTCGCCTTTCGTCGCGTCAACAGTGCCCCGCCTGGAAGTACAGGCGTTTCGCCAACGGATCGTCCGTGCGCCGGTTCGGTCGCTTCTTCCTTATGCTCACCAATGAAGCGTGCTTTCTAGTCCAGTCGTCGACTGTGGCCGGCAGCCATCTGTAGAAACATGATGATTTATCAAACTTCTCGAAACTGGCAGAAGTTCAGCGATGACGGTCAGCTGCTGCACTGACAGCACTGCCTCCCAAAGTAGAACCTGAACTGCTATGGCCAGACCGCCAGGTAGCGTGCATCTCCACGCAGCCAAAGACCGCAAGAAGACTGAAAGTTGACCCAGTTAGCCACACCACGAAACACGATAAAACCTAAACTCGGGCTCCCCAACAACAGCCTCTTGCACTGGCCGCCAGCAAGGAGCAAAAAGTGGTGCAAAGAGCCCCCAGAGACGAAATCCATAATGAGGTAGATCTGCTTAGGCCTTGATCAAGGCCCAGGCTCAGGTCTAGGCTTTGACTCAAGCTCCACCCTCCTCAACGCTATGCTGCAAACCTGACTTGATTTCACTGAGGCTAGGGTTCAGGGTTCAGGGATGAGGCATGTTGAATTAGGCGAGCGGTTTCCACATATGTTGGGAAGCTTCATCAAGTATGATTTTGGAGTTAGACAAAAACATCCCGAAATCAAGCCCAAGAGTTCAAAATCTACAATATGTGCAAGAATGAGGGCACCCTACAGTCCCAGCCCTCCCTCTATGGAACCTGCTACGGACAATGAACAAATGCCTCCACAATCGCTCTCACTTGCATTCCGAGGGGCGTGTCCAAGGCCTCGTGGAACTCCACGATGTTTGGGTGTCTCAACCGCTCCATGAGCCTTCACTTTGTTGATCCGACGGAGGCTTTGGGCTTTCTGTTTTCTTTTCGGAGGCTTCTGGGAGCTCATGGCGCTCAAGCTCAAGGTTCTAGCGACTTTCAGACTATAGGGCTTTGCATCAACTTGCAGTGTGTAGATCGTTGAGGGGGATGCGTACACACCCGCACACCCATACACCAACACTCTGCATCTCCCCATGTGGCCGCCGTCTAGCGGCCGAATCTCACAGCGAACGCTCTTCCGGCGCTGTGGATCGAGCAGTTTGTACTTCTCCTCAGCTCCAAACCCCCCCCCCCCTCCCATTTTGGAAAAACTTTTCGGGACTGAGGGAGCCCACGTGGTCCCAATAATACGGGGAGTCGCTACGCTGCCAAACAGAAAGTTCAGAGAAAGTAGGACAAAAATGCAGGGCTCTCGCGCGTGCCATGGAACAGGTCAGTTGCTGCAAACTCCGCACGTTCCGCACGCACTCTTTTTGCTACCCAGAGTCGTAGATCTTGATGGCCACCTTGGATTTGGAACTTTGAGGTTCCGGCAGGTTCGAGTCGGTTTACGGGATGGTCCCAGGTTCTGTTGCGGGGTGAAGTGAACTTTAAGGAGGGGGGGGGGAGTGGTGGGAGGCGCTTCTGGCGCTTGCCTCGTCACGCAAGTCGGTTCTACAGGGAGCCGGTGGTGGCTCTCGGAACAGATCGTGCTCGCTCAGGGCAGCTGCATGCGCAGACCCCAAAGACAAGTGTAACACATGGTAAGCAGCAAGCACCAGAATGGCCAACCCAACTCCACTGCACAGTTTCGCAGTGCAGCCTTTTGAGCTCCTGTCTTGACGTCCAACCAGCGCTGCTATGTCGAGTCTATGCACGGAACATGCCATTCACCCCTACTTCGGGCTGTTGGCTTCCAGAGGTTTGGTACTGGTTTGGATAGGTTTAGTTTTTGCCAACTGACCTTCTTGCTGGTCTCCTTGTGGAGGCCGAAAGCAACGGTCGCATATGCGCCCTGGCCAATCTGCTTGCCCACCTGACAGCAGCTCAATGAGTCTTACCCAAAACAAAGCAGCACCCTGCTGAGCCCTGCTGCTATGACTTCCTTGACTTCTCTCAGCAGTGGCCACAACTAGATTTGGATCAGAGGCTCTCAGCTCTTAACTCTCAAAGGCACGCCGCGTACCTAACCGATGATTCCCAAACACTCTCGTCTTGCTGGCCAAAGCCGCTATGTAGTCGTCCAAAGAACTTCCTGTAAGCGTAGTGCTGGTGCTCGGTCTCCCGTCGCTCATATCATCCTGGGTCGGGGAAGACACGCAGTTTGAGGCTTGGACATATGACAAGGCTAATACGGCCGGCTTGGGCCCGGATATCGAACTGTGCCGACTCCCTCACAGACGTAAGCCTTGAGGTAGACAGGGAGTCGTATAAACGTTGTGGACGGCTCCGCAGTTGACATGATCTGTTCGCTTGGACCCCCCCCAAGCTCCAAAAATCCTGCTCCCCTGCAGGCACCTTTAGAAGCACGTCGAAGGAGTCCCGCTGCTTGCGACCGGAGACTTCACCAGTCGTCTGAAGCGAGGGAACTGGTGCATAAGTCCCGGTGAAAGGATGTCGCAATAATGAAGCATTTCCCAAGGGCAGTAAAGAAGAATCTTCTCTGCTACCATTGCCTATCACCAGCTGCATGCCCATCTCCAACTAGTGTAACTACCAACAAGCAAGTTTGTGAGAAGGGTGCGGCAAGCAGAAACATAGCCTACCGAAGCAATGTTGACAACCCTTCCGAAAAGTAGCAAAGTCCCCCAAGCGAAGCTGCAACAACTTTAGGCCCTGAAGAAGAGCATCAAGAAGCCCCAGAGAAAACGGATCGAGTGTCATTCGAGAGCTTTTTTAAGGCTTAGCATCTCTTCTGCCTTCTCTTCGCTCCTCTCTTAGCGGCGCCTCCGTGGCCTCCTTGGAGAAGCCCCCGATGATTTCGCCCTTCTGCTCGCCCCTTGGGCTGGGAAGCAGTGGGGCTTTTTTCTAGGACTGGCGCCGTGCTTTGTAAGTTGGATTGGCTGTGGATGGGTTTGGGTGGATTTCGCTCGCAGAAAGTTCTCAACTACCGGCTTGCGACTTGATTCATGGTACGGCGGTCCATAGTGAAAGGCATTTTTACATTGCTAGGACACAGGGTTTCGACTTACCCTGACGGGGCGTTGGATGCTTGGTCCTTGGCCAAGCAAGAATCCGAGACTCTGGAGACTCTGGGTGCCTGAAACGACACACATGAAGTCCGTGCCGCCTTCCCCCAAACGGTGAACCATTGTCCCACTGAAAAACCAGAATCTCGGAACTCGGAATGCCTTCAACTGCATGCAACTGCAACCCCCCACAACACACCATAGCACAGGTGCTGGCCCAGGCTGCGGCATGCCTGGCAAAGGGGTGCTATAGGGAGTCTGGAAGTGTGACTTGGACCGCGGGCGTCCATGGCTTTAGCCTTTAGCTTTATCACTCTCCGAACAATCCCTGGAACATCCTTGGCCCATCCCGACTGAACTCAGAGCTCTGACCCGAACTGGCGGAAGAACACCCTGAGCCTGACAGCTTTCCACAACTTCATACAGATTGATGCGACTCCGGGCCTGGACACCCGCGCCCGCTGGCAGAGACACCTTGTATATGCATCATGCATACATGCATGTGCATATGTGTGTCCGTCTGATTCTGTATGAATTCATGCATGTATGTATGCGTGCGCGTGCGGTTCCACGAGGTGTGTCCTAATTACTACAGACCTCGGCGTCTAGTGCTCTGGCGTGCTTGCGGCTTGGCTCTGGCACGTTGCTCCTGAAGAATCGACAAAACAAAGAGTGTCCCCAGGTTTACGTGACTGTTGGACAGGCTGCGCGCGAAATGCGGCCGACACTGTCGGAGTCCACACCTGTCAGGAGAGCCCTGCCCAAGCGCACCCTGCTCTTGCATTCGCTCTGCGACGGAGGATGCCTAATTGCCTAATTGCCTGCTGGTCAAGCTTCAGGTGGCTCAAGCCGACAACCTGCTGTCGCATCCCTGAATAGCTGTTAACCAACGAAATGTCGACAGGAGTTCTGAACCCTTAATGCGCAGGACAACTCAGAAACTCAGAGCTTCTGGAACCCCACCAGCTCTATTCTCTACAGCATCTCTGCCTGGCGCAGCGGTCGCCGCACTCTGGGTAGCGCGCGATGTCGGGGTCCTTGGCTGCCGGCTGCTTTGTGCACTGGCGCATGCTTGAGGCCCCTGGATTGAAACTGACACAAACCCCTTCACATCCCCGCAGAACTATCAACCCGTAGTCATCACATGCTAATTCTGCTATAGTCCGCTTCGACACAACCAGATCGGTCATTCTGAGCCAGGGCTCTGAGCGCGCTGCTTCTCCGGCATCCTAAGTTACCGGAGCTCAGCAAGGTCAAGGCCTTTGGACTTTTGGGGCTTCGTAATTAAAGAGTTTAGAGCTTTTGTAGTCTGTGATGCGTCGTTATGTAGTGAGGGGTTATGAGCAGCCTTGGCCTTAGGCCGACGAGTCACCTGGGCTCTTTGGAACCTCCTGAAAAGCCTCTGCCAGCCTTTTCTCATAGGCCGCACTGCACACGAGCAAGCGAAGCAACTGCAACAAAAACTAAGGAAGCCTTGAGCGCCTTAAACGCCACCTTCAGAGATTGCTGCCCTGCCACACACAGACACGGCGCAGGAGGTGCGCCGGCGAGTTGCTCCGAGCGGAACCGGGTGTGGAGTCCTTGCTGGGAGCTTGGAGGGCGTCAAGGGGGTCTGGAGCTTTCGATTCAGCGTTTCCCGATTGAAATGGCTCCCCGCCTCTGCCGCTGGGCTCTCCTCGTCGCTGGCTTTCGTCGGTGTGGTCGAGGACCTGGGAAGCAAAAGCGTGGTGCCAACGGGTCCCTTTTATGGAGGCACTCTGGGTTGCCGGCTTTTCACGAGCCAACACCTCCCCAAAGCCCTCCATAAACCTCCCTGAGTTCTCGAGGTCCCAGCCGAACCCTGCCAGCCCAAAGGAAGAAGAGACCTCAAGTGCCTCGATGAAGAAAGTCCTGTCTTTGTCAGGGCAGGTGGCGGCCGCTTGGGGATCACAGCAGCCACCGCAGCAACTGCGGTTGGAACCTGAATGCTTGGAAGCAGCAGAAAGCTGAAAAATTTCAATCCTTCTCTAGAGACCTTCAAAAGCCCCCAACAAAATCAACAAACCCCCCTACCCCCCCAACCCTAAACCCTCACCAGACAAAGAAAACAACAAATGCAACATCAAGGTGCCGCTACGGCATGGCTGGCCTTGACCGGGCCTGTGGCCCGTGCGTTCCATCCTTCAAGGAGCTTCGGGCTTTCCGGCTTTCGGATTCTCAAGTTGGAATATTTACAGTTTCAGCGGGCTCTGTTGCCAGGACTTCGCAGGCATACCTTCCCTTGCTTCCAAAAGACAATGCACTGAATTGACATCCCACTGAAAGAACTCCACTCAAAAGATCCCTGTGCACCTGAGTGCCGGATCGGCTGCGTCTCCTCTCCGTCGGCCTCTTCGCTTGTGCATGCGCTTTTGGCGCTTTTGGTGCCCCCCCCCCCGCCCCACTCTCGGGATTTCGGACGATTCAGGCACTTCACGACCTGACGATTCAGCAGGAGTGTCTAAACCAGCGTCGAGATTTCCCTCTGGATTCGGCCTAACCCCAAGACAAAGCCGAGCAGCGTCGTTCTTCTGAACGTGGTCTGCCTGTTGCCTCATGAGCCCCGTGTGTCCACTCTCCAAAAAGGTGAATTTGCTTTGGATCATAGAAGTAATGTCATGGTCGGGCGCAAATGACTGCTCCTAAAGCTCCTTAAGCCTTTTGGTTGAAGCCGCTGGGTCGAGAAACCAAGCCGAAAGCCGAAAGCAATCAACACACCCTTAAAATAGGCCCCAAGAAAAAAGACACGCCAGCCGACACCCTGCATCCATCTGAGGCAAGCGACGCCGTCTCTACCTGCAGCTAAGCCAGAAAAGCAAGAACGCAGGCAAAGACTAGGCACTAGTCAAGCTCTCATTGTACTGGTGCCAAGCCGGTCAGGGAAGGTCAGCACAAGGCTCAATTGCCATAATGACTGATCCTCTGATGAAAGCACTACTAGTACCATATGCCAAGAACACGGACCACATCGAGCCATGTTGGCCTAGTGGAAGAAGCCAAGACCATGCAGAATGTGACACCTGATTAACCCCGGCACCTGCTGCTGGATCATCTGCTTGCGCCGATCCAGGAAGCGCTTGTAATCCAAAGCCGATGAGATGACCGTGGTGAGGCTACCTTGGAGGTTCACATGTCTCCCGCGTTGATGTGAAACCCAAGTCACACAAGGCTGCCGTGAGTGAACACCGGCCTAAGGCTTTGAAGCTCCGGGCACTTGTTTCTGCAGCCCTTCTACAAAAAGGGTACCCTTGGTACCCTTCTATTGTAGTATGCCTAGGCTCCCGGCAGCCCTGCCCATAGTCGCGTCTGTTGCCAAGCGGCCATTGCCCTTCGCTGCGCTGTGGCTCTCCCCCGCACTCTCTGGGCGCAGGGGAGTGGACGCGGCACCGGGGTCCTTGCCGTCCCTGACCTGAGACACAAAGGGGTTGGCGTGCGGGCGTGTGTGGGGAGTAAAGCTTTGCAGTGAACACTTCGTTTCGCGAGCCTACGGAGCAGGTAGTCTGCAATCAAGGCCTTGGTATTCGTTTTCCCAAATACACATGAAAACGGTATGACCGAAGTCTTGCAGGAAAAGAACGCCTCGACAAATGTTGTCAAGTCACGGTCTGGTCTGTTTGTGTGGAAGCACGTCTTGTAGGGCACTTTGGGGTGCTCAGACTGCCCTGGCTGCATAGGGCTCTCGCATGCAAGCATGCGGCCGAGGGGGTGCTGCCACTCTGATTTGCTCGTCGCTGCGAGGCGGAGGGTGTCCTGTGCAAAGTGAGGGGTTGGGCATGGCATATCTTTTGTTGACTGCCTAGCATGCCTAGCGCATCCGTGAACTCAGGGTATGAGTGCCATTGTGACGACCATCTTGACTGGGCTGGAGCTGGTGCCGACTTGATAGCCCACATCTCAATTTTGACGCATGATTTTGTCTAACCTGGCTTTACGCTTCTCTCGTGGCTGACATTCGCGCGTGTGTGCAAGCTCTTTTCCTGCAGCCTCTGTGCACCAATCGGTTGAACTCTGACCCCCGAGTCCTGGGCCGGTTGGGGTTCGAACGCCCCGCTGAGGAAACCCTCAAAGGCACCTGGCATCGTTGCACGGGTTTGGGGCTTTTCGACGGTTTCTTCGGATCTCTACGAACCACAGCATCCGACAGCGTATCCTGGCGTGCTGTTGGCAGCTAGGCCTGATGTACCTCAAAGAAGCTTCAGCAGCTTCTCTTTCGCATGCTTGGCTTTGGTCACGAGCCCAGCCGCCTGGGTCCCATCGCTTGTGGTGGCTGTGACGAGGACCGGCGTTTGGGACCTGTGGGGCACTATAGGCAGGGCTTGGGTGACGCGGAAAGCCCTCAGACATCCTCAAACCGAAGCCCAATTAAGCGCTCTTTAAAGTCTCGGGTCGCTTCGCGGCGTGAATCCCTCGGCCTCGCGCTCCCTGGCGGCGATGTGGCGCGGAGGACGCTGCCGATGAAACGGGCACCTCGGTCAAGGTGACCAAAGTGGTGATCGGGGTGGAAGTGGTTCGGGGATAGGGCCTCATGGTGCGACCGTGTGCAACCGTGTGCAACCCACCCGTGATCACATCTGCCACGCTGCTTCCCGAGCTGGCGGAGCCGGGTCGTGACGAGGGGCCTGGCACATGAGGGACACTTAGTCGAAAGAGCAAACTCCGAGTATACCTCATGAACGCCTTAGTCTTAGAGCCTCACGCAGCCGTATTAAGGCGTCACAAAGCTTTTGTGGTATTTGCAACAACTGAGCACGGCAAAGGAATTCCGCAAGTGACGCGCGGTTCTTGCATGAGGTTGCCGGACTAGAGGCTCAGGGTTGGCAGGAAGGGAGAGTTTTCCACTCTCACTTGCGGGCTTGTGCCCTTTATGTCCCATTTTGGGATCGAGCTAAACCGCAAAAGCCTTCGGCCCACCGCGAATCCCTATAATTAAGCCCCAACACACGAAACCTTGAACCACAGGTTCCATCCGATCACACCGAGGGAGCCTCTCTCCCCGTGCCGCCGGTGCGGCACCTCTGCCCCAGATCCGACTGCGCTGCCTGGGAGTGCTGCACTTGTCCGCTCCGCCCGGGTTTGGGGCCACGAAAACCAGCAGGAAAAAGCTAATTACTAATTACCCATCTTCCCGGATCCAGCAGCCCTGACAGGAACACAGCGGCACCTTGCGTGACGTGTGTGCCGAACCTCTAAATGAGGCAGGGATGCCTCATGAGTCATGAGTGGGCCTAGGCATGCTTGCGGCGCACGTGCTCAAAAAGAGCCCACACATCCCAGGTTTTTGGCATTGAGGTTCGTGGCCATTTTGCTTGCGCTCGAAGCCAAGCCGCTGGGTCGACGGCCTTGAGTAGCACTGCCGGATCTCTTGCCTCAGCATGAGAAGGCGTTCTCTTGCATATCCGATTATGGCATGTACCTCGCCCGTTACCTCGCCCGCATGGTGTAGGGATGCGATGGTACCAACTCTCTTCACCTTTTTTGAACCCAGGCTCTAAAATGACAACCCCTAACGAACCCTCCTGACACCAGCCGAGTGGCTGCTTCGACTCGGGCGCTCGCCCCCGGCCGTTGCCCGAAGGTTCGGTGTCACCGTGGCACTTCCTTGCAGCTGCTTTGAGCTGATTCCTTTTTGCTTCCATGAAAATTTCATAAAGGGCATCAGCTGATCTACTCGTCAATAGTCTGAAGCAGGAGGGCGAACTCCAAAATCCACGCCAAGAAGCTTTGGTCTTGCCACATTCTCGGCGGTTGGTGAACGAAGAGCATGGCCTTTGTCAGGTGGCTGCCGTGGGCAATCGGTGGATACCATTGGAGGGCCCTCGGCTTCTTCGACAACTTAGGCAATTGCTTCCACCCGCCTCCGCTCATCGCGGAAAACAGTAGCTCAACAACCTCTGAAACCTCGAAGCCCTCAAACCCTGTGCTCGGTGCCCCAGCCCGAGCGGGTTCTTCTCGCTCTGGGCGCGTGCTGGGGCCCTGGGAGGGATTTGGCTTCCAGGCCTTTAAACGGTTAAACGTCGAAAGTACCTTATTGCGGTTCTCTGGCATGGCACCCAGAGGGCCTCAGGGTCTCTCTGCTTGGGCCCTCCCCACGTGCGACACGCACTCACGTTCGCAGTGACATCTTCTTCTTCTTCTTCTTCTTCTTCTTCTTCTTCTTCTTCTTCTTCTTCTTCTTCTTCTTCTTCTTCTTCTTCTTCTTCTGCAGGGCTTGGGGGAGACCCTCTCCCTCTCTCTCTCGCTCCCTCCCTCCCGTCCCTTCCGAAGAACATGCCCGCTCTTTCGGCCTTTGAAACTTCACAAGTCTGTGTTGGAGGTAGCTTTGCCTTGCAAAGAATACACTACACTCTACACTATACCCTTGACACTGCAATGGGCCTTGGCGACAACTGGGATTGGCCCTTTTGCTCATGGATTGTGGTGCGTTCAGGTCAAACTTTACATGATTTATGGGGTATGTTGTCTTTGAGTGCCATCTTTTCAACTGGCAACGAGTTACTTCACATTACATGTTTCAGTGCGTAGGTGCGACAACCAGTATCAATGTTAGTTTTCTGATGTTACGAATGCTCGATACGTTTGGCAAACCTGCAGCTGGAACCTGCGCACGCGAGTTTCTACATCGGGATTCATGTCGTTGATCGTTTGATGGCTCTCATGCGAATCCAACAATATTCCAAAGCCAAACAAGAGCCAAACCCCCGAACTCTTCCCAAACTCTTCGCCCCCTCTCCCCGTCCTTGTTCAGGAGAAAGCGCGCGGCACGTTTTTAGCCGCGATCTGCCTGAGCCCTCTCCATCCGCGCCCCGAGCCGCACTTTTTGAGCCAAAAGGTTGAGGTGGAGGAATGGTTTTCAGCTTCAGAGCTGTGTTTCTGGACTGTATGATTGAACTGTCCCCTTACATAGCTCATGGTGGGGTACGCATGCTTCGGGGCTTTCTGAATGAAAGTCATCTTCCTGCACTTGCATTTGGTTGTGTCTGATCATGGTCGCTTGCTTAAGCGCCACCTCTGTGCGAATATCCGATGCAGGGGCTTAATTAGGGGAAGAAGCTTTGCATTTGGCATGTGTCATGATTATGCATCCAATGCCGCGTTCGCAAGTAGAGGTAATGAAGCGGGATTGGCACGGGTTGAGCTCCAAAGTTTCAGAGTTCGCAGATGCCATTTGCACAGAACGGAGTGCGGGGATCTTAGGGCAGGAAACCTCCAATCAAACTTCCAAATAAACTCTACCATTGACCACAAGATATGCGAAGCCGTTGACGCAAAGCCACTTCTCGGCCCATGAAAAGCATGAAAAGCCGTCTTACTTTCGAACTTCCAGCATCAAACCCTGAACCTCAGACAGCCCCCCCGGGCCCCCGGGCCCCCAACCCCCCAACCCAACGATGACACATCCCGACTCAAGCACCACGGTGTGGACGGAGGCCTTGGACATGCCTCGGCTCAAAGCGACCTGTGGCCACATTGAGTGCGTTGTGGGGCTGAGGCCTTGTTGTGTGGTATGGATGCGCGTGGGTTTTGAGTAGGGGCCTTTAAGGACCTCTGATCTCGTGCACCCCGCCCCCGCGTATCTTGCGGCGTTTCCGGGCGTTTCGCTGCTCAAGGCATTGCAGGTTGGGACGTACAATGGTGTAGAATCGTGTGAGTCGGCTCAGCGCCCGCTGCTCTGGAGCCCGCCGACATCCGAAGCGCTGAAAGTCTGAAAACATTTTGTCCAGGTGCCTTGGTGCTGATGGGCGTCTCCAATGGCCTGCCAGTGGAGGCCCGTTTGTCTGCACAAGTGAAGGGAAGGGGCCAACACTCGGCTACTGCCTTAAATACTACCTTCAGGTCACTCAGAGGGCTCCCTTCCCCTCTGGCTCCGCCTGCGTCCGGCGCTCAAACTGCTCGGCTTGGAAGAAGGTTTCGAGGACGGTCCCGGGCCTCGTCGAGGTTGCGGGATTCGTTTTCTTGTTGCATGAATGGACTAGCTGACTAGCTTCAAGAATCTTGAGGATGCAGCACTGGACAAGCAGTACTCTAGGCCAGAATGGCGGCAGCCAATTAAAAATCTGCACTGGAGGGCTTGAAGTGCAACGGCGTCCGTGCCACGAGAGCTCAGGAGCACCCAGGGAAGAAGACAAAGCAGGAACAAAAACCGACAAAAACCGCACCCGGGCAATGCTTCCAAGGAATTTTGATGAAGTCCCTCGGCCAGCCTGGAATTTGGCTGTCCAGGAGGAAGTCCTCCTCCAAGTCGCTGAGCTGCGGAGGTCGACCTTCCCACGACACTCTGCTCAGGTTCGCAATGCTCACTGAGAGAGTTCTCTCTCGGGCAGCCCTTGGAACGTTTTTGAAGTTCCCACTGTTTGGGTTCAGAGAAAGGCTTGTGGCGTGCACCGAGGGAATCAGCGGGGCCGTGCTACAGCTGGAGTACTGTGCATGAGGGTAGGTGGCTTCGCACCCGACCTCATGACACACAAATCCAAGCCACGCCCGCCTCGGACGCTGAGTGGCGAGAACTGGCCAGAAGTCTCCATGACCTGAAGGCTGAGCACCACATGGGGACGGGGGCGCGCTCGACGCACGGCTGCTACTGCAAACTCATCCCGAGTTCGCTCAGATCCCTCTTATCACGCTGCTCCGAACCCGACGAGATGGGAGCTCTTTGTTTGAAACTGCAAGAGAGAAATTGAAATGCGCGTGACAACTGCTGTTCCAGACATACCAGGCCATGATGAATTGGAAGTCAAGATCTGTACATCCCAGGCCCGAAGCAGCGCATAAAGCTTAGCCAAAGTTATTGGGCAAAGGTGCATGCTCCAGCATCTCCATCAGCGACTCCTGCCTTGCACGGGGGAAAAGGGGGTTGATCACGTGAACCCAATGGCTCAATGACTCAATGCTGCGTTTGCTTCGCTCAAAGTTCCCAAGTTATGGTCCGAGCAGATAAGGGTCCCCAAAACCCTCTATATATATGATTCAGCCCCGGCGGGCCCCCCCCCCCCCCCCCCCCCCCCCCCCCCCCCCCCCAATGGTACCCCCCCCCCCCCCTGTGGTGGGTTGGGGGTTGGTTTTAGGGTTTTAGGGTTTAGGGTTTTTTAGGGTTTAGGGTTTAGGGTTTTAGGGTTTTAGGGGGTTTTAGGGTTTAGGGTTTAGGGTTTAGGGTTTAGGGTTTTCCCCGCGGATGGGGTACTAAGATGATCCCCCCCCCCTGTGGTGTGGTTGGGGGTTGGTTTTAGGGTTAGGGTTAGGGTTTTAGGGTTTTAGGTTTAGGGTTTAAGGTTTAAGACTTAAGGTTTAGGGTTTAGGGTTAGGGTTTAGGTTTTAGGGTTTAGGGTTTAGGGTTTAGGGTTTAGGGTTTAGGGTTGAGGGTTTAGGGACCGTAGAGTATACCATGGGGGGGGGGGGGGGGATACCGGGGGGGGGGGGTGGGGCCCAGGACGCTCGACGCTGAACCATATATATATATATATATATATATATGAATAAAATCTATGGCGAGAGCGCAGTGAATCTGTGGCCTGCGCAAGGGGTCCGGCGGCATTGTGAGCACAGCTCGGCGCCAAGCGGCCGCCTCCTGCCCAGGCAGTTTAGGGCAGTGGGGCTCAGGCTCTGTGAAGTTGTGGGGGCTTCAGCGTGTTTGGGAAGGAGATGTGGGATTTCCAGGCGGTTCGACGTAGTAGTAGTGGCCGAGCCGAGGAATTCTACATCTTCAAAGCGTGCATCCCATGAGACTTGATATGTTGAAATGCAACTATTCTGGTAGCCTGCCATCGCAACAGCAACCATCGTGTGCACCCTCTTCCTTCTTTTCAAGAGATTGGAAAAGCCGCTGCGAATCCCGCAATGTTGAAGTCGAAGCCGAGCTGCTCCTTAAGATCCAAAAAACACACGTGGCACGCGATAGGAATACCATGGCACCTGCTGATAAGGCAGTGTGCCCGTGAGCAAAGGCTGAAGCACAAAACCCAGACCCCAAGTTGCCCATGACACTGGTGCTAGACTCCAAAAGCAACATCAAAGTCTTCTGGGCACCTCCTGAAATTTTGTACCCGCGATGCCACACCTGAGATTCTGGGGTGTGTAAGGTCGCCGCGGACGCTTTGGCTTGTGCTGCGCCGAGTGCCGAGCCTGGGGTCAATCGACAAGATGTTGACACTTGAGAGGAGTTGAGAGGCCATAGGAACTTTTAGGAGCAGGTTGGGGGTTGGTCGGGTACACCTCTCACAATGAGTCAAGCATGTGCAGCCTCTCAGAGACATTTTTGCAAATGCAGTCTCCCGATGCCTTCTGGAGCTGAGACTAGTGGTGACTTTCCAGAGCGGCGCGCCTCCCCAGCAGTTCGGCCTCGGTTCACGGTGGTCACTTGCATCGACTCCCTGTCAGGAGAGAGTCTCTGACAGCAGCTCAGAGGCCTGTAGTCCATCAACGACGTCTCGGAAGTCGGGTAGGGGGTCAACAGATCCCTTCACCCAAAGAGCGCATGGATTTTACGGTTACCAGAAGCAGCGAAGTCACTGAAACGCAGTGTTCGCGGGTTTGTTCCAGCACTTGTACTACAAATCAACGAATTCCCTCCCAACTCCGCAACGTTCATCACTCGGGGACTGCTTCGCTCCAATGAAACGTCGCTTCGACTTCCTGACATGTTCCCCTGCCCTGGCTTGCCTCATGGCAACAAAAAGGTAAACTTTCTACGCTGCTTCTCACGGAAACCTTCCTCAAACATGAACCCCAAAGCTCTGCAGTGGCAGATCTCTGAAGGGCACGGGCATGCT